TCGTGGTGTGTACTAAGCTTTAAAACTTTGTTTGTCTGTAATAGTTCTTTACTGTGTTTGAGACCGTTGATCTCTTTGACGCACCTTGTCACATATTTTGAATCACTCGTGTGTCAAACGAGTAATGTATAGTTTTTTATAATATTTTATTGTTCAATTCAGTTGAGCAAAAATATTTGACGTGAAAGAAGTGGCATAGCCTTTAGCAACATACCATTGTACAGTACTGTAACTAATTTTTTATTGGTGAACACTACTGTGGTATATTACTACAGTAATAAGTTGTCATGAATTTGGTACTGCGTAGGTTTCACGAATACCTGACGTATTTCTGACTATATTTTCCTGTGTCAACCACTAAAACCGTAAAGGGCTGGTGTGACAGTACTTGTAGGTTCATGGGAATGGTCTATGTATAGCCATTCTATATTCTATTTAAACCTCGCAACTAATCGTAATGCCGTACCCACTCGTTTTATTAAACCGCTCAGTATCTAATGAAGCCGCTCTAAACATGGAATGGATAGCCATGACATTAAACAAGACTAGTTATATGACTATAATAACTGTAGTAGGAGATAATAACAGTTTTCCTGATATAATTATAGGGATACTTGCAATAACGCTGTGTGTACAGCTAGCGACCTTCCTAATTTGGAAACGGCTGCTGGTATTACCATTCAAAAGTGCGAAAAAATAATCGTCTGTCTGTCTATAGCATCTATTAGATACTTTTAATTTTGACGGGTATCCTATAGTTACTAGCTTTCGCTGCTAGTAGGCTACACGACCTCTCAAATCCAATATCGTTATCAATTCTGATTACCCTAGAACACTGCCAATCAATAATGGTTTCCCAACAGATAATAAAAACATTATCAACGATTTTTTCCTTGCATACAATCTATTCAGCAAACAGATACTAACGCAATCACATGTAGTTACTATCTAACATTATAAAGTCGTGTTTCGTTTTTTCTTTGGATACTAACGTTATCGAAACATGTTTCCATCGGATATTATCGTTATCAATCCTGGTATCCTCGTGTTGAGTCACTCATTCACTGTCAGTAGGTCTGGTATATACGACCAGCAGGAGGCATAAACATGACGATACAACGGACCTGGGGAGGACCGGGAACTTGTAATTGAAAAACCAGCCTAAAACAAACAAAAACTGAACACGGCACTCGCAGCAGGGGCTCCCCCCACGAGCATGGGAGCATGGACTTGTTAGTGGGAGCGGTGAGAGTTGATATATTTATTTCTACACTTGCAATTTATTAGTGCAACAATACTTTGTAGTTATATACTTAAACTGAAATTAATCTTGGCATCATTGGTTGTAATGCTTGCATTCGAGACTAGTGGTCGCTGGTTAGATCCCAAGAGGAGGTCAATTCTGGACCCAGATACAGTTGATCATTATTCTATCCAACAAAAAATCGACTTTAGTTAAGAGGAAGACTAGTGTATTGACAGTTTATATACAAAGAAAAATTAATTTCTCCACGGGGTGAACACGTTGAAATAAACACAAAATTTGAGCTGTTTCGTTTTAAAGCCCTAAAACAGGTTACACTGCGCAAAAAAAAAAAAAAAAAAACTCACAACAACATGAAGAAAATATATGATTTGGTATGGAGGATAATAAAATGTGCAGTTTATATATAAAAGGTATATGTATGGATTCCATTTCAACTGAGAAGTTTTTTCTTCAGTCGTACGACTGGATGAATGATGAACGTATAATCAAGTAAATCAAGTAAAATAGTACCCATTTATCTTACGATGCATAAAATATGTATTTAGGCCTATTACGTTGATTATCAAATAAAACAAGTAAAATGGTTAGTAGTTAAATTCGTGTGAAAAATCAATCCCATGAAAGATTTTGAGCAAAATGTTGTATTTTACGGGTACTTTGTCAAACTCAAGTCGGTTCTCTTTTCGAAGATAAGGAATACTGTATTTTGTATGTACGTTTATGCTTATTCATGTTCACGAATACATCGCTAAACAGACGTCAAAAGCGACCAAAGAACCATTGTCATAACTACACGCCATAAACAATCGCCGTACGTGACTATTAACATAATTGTGATAAACGTCTTAATAAAACCCCCATACTTGGACCGAATGCACGAACTGAATCAATTTCGAACTCACGATCTTCCCGCATGACCTAAAACAAACAAGATAAGCCGAAGCTCCCGACGGCAGCGGCAGGAGGTCTAGGAGAACTCACCTGGTCGGAAGGAAGAAGAAGAAAGAAGAAACATAACAGCTGATATATGATACAGGTGGAAGCGGGGACCGGCTGGCGGTGGAGCGGCATACCTCGGAAATATGGATGCGGAGTTCAGTAAAAAAGAAATTTGACAGGTCGCCATTGTCGTTGGGTCGCGGCATCGTTTGCTCTTCCAACGGAAAATGTAATGAGCTTTAGCACTCATAACTGAGAATATGTCAGGCTGTTTATGGCTATTGGCTGCCCACGGCGAGAGACAATAAGTGAATACCAGAAGCTTTGGCAACAGGAGGTTGTGTGGACAGAATTTGCTGCTGCGGAATTTATATTTAAAATTTGAATTTTGTTCAGTCAGTAAAAACAAAATGTTAACTGACTTAGACAGCTATAAGCTCGACCGATACCGATCGAACGATGTTTTGACATCACTAAAAAATCCCCACGATATCAAGTCTATATACACGCCATATGTATACACGTGGCGACTTTACTCCAATATTAGTTTAGAAATCTGCGAAAATCACAGACAAATCGACTGTAGCGTTGCGAAGTCTTACATGCAGACATGGGTAAATCATCCCCTATTTGTCTGGGGTTGGTGATCGGAGGGCTGGAGGGGTGTACCGCCGGCGCCAGGCCAGGTAGTCTGTCTGCCTCCGCCTTTGTTCGACTATGGAGTGGCATCATTCAACTATTGTTTACCTCTTTACTTTCCCTCCCTCGTCACGTCATCGAGTTGCAGCATGCTGCGTGCTCACCCCTCGCCTGTGCTTTCTAGAGGGGAGTATTACAAGTTTGAAAAGTGTCTGTACTCGTGTACTCTTTGCAATTAGAAGTTCTCGATCTTTAGGGTCGAGTTGTTATTTTAAGAGAAAACTATGTTCCGTTTCGTATCTTTGAATGAAGTAGGAATAAACGTTCAATGTTTCGATATCTAAATATTTCATACTATAAATCTATTTTACCCTACTTGACTACTATATGATCTATTTAAAGTTTTAAGCTGGCTTTGTGACAACGCCGTAGCTTGATTGTTTGGTGCCAATTTTTAAAGCTTTTTTTAGGTTCACTCTCTGAAAAATAATGTGTTGTAGTTACACTGTCTCTGTTTTTAGATCCAAACCGTGAAAAACTCTACGATAAGTTAGTTTAATCTTGTTTGAGGGGCTATAAAACAAAATGCCCGATAAAAGTTTATATCGGTTGTTTCACAAATTGTGATGGTTTTCAAACCTATTTGGTATCGCCATTATGAGAACGATAAAGCACATAACATAACATAACACATCTCACGGTTGTATAAAAACATCTCAGCGAAAACGTTAATTGTTGTTACGAACCCATCTTTGATCGTATTTCCTGTTTTCCACTGACGGTGATTTTCCCTCCCACATCAGTGTCATGAGCTAACAGCCTGCAGCTGTTTGATATTGATTAGGCGGCATGGAAGGGAAGGAAGTCTACCACATGCCAAGAACAGGAAGTAGGATGTGGGCCCGGGTAGGTAGTGAAGAGGGTGTCTATAGGTGAGCCGAGTCGAGGGGAAACATTACACGCACTCTGATAGGCCTACTCAAACAAGTTTATCTTTCACCCGCTCCCACATAAACTAAAAGTTCTAAGTATAAGTTGTACGGACGGTACGGTACTTCAAATTCTTGTCTGAAAGTATTTTTGTATTATCTGAATAGTTTTTCTTTAGATAATTAAATATGGTATCCTAATTATATCCTGATATCTTGGTTTTATTCAGTGCAAAAGTAGTTGCAATAATAATTATAATGTCGTACATTATTGTGATAAGTAGAATAAACCACGTAAAATGTTTACTTTGAGGTAGTAGGCTACGGAAAAAGTTCGCTTATGAACCTATTAAATTTTTTTTAAATAGGAAGATTAAAAAAAAAATCGCAAGCTGAACAATTAGGTTTTGGCATGTAGGGAAGGCGGTGGAGGGGTCGAGGTTTATAGCTGTGGCTGATAGATATTGATTTTAGTCCTTGTTAGCTGTGGCTGATAGATATTGATTTTAGTCCTTGTCTTTTGAGGTTGACCTGTTTTTACTGAGTACATTTATCTTTTGGTTAGGGTTATTTCAATTTAGGAAAACAATCCTGTGAGAGCCAATTCACACAACAATCATCTCAGATTTTTTACAGGAGCAGAGAACCCTATACTTAGCCTTCGTGAGAATTCCTACATTTCGCCAGTAGGCACAGCATCTACGGAAATTACCGTACCCCAATTTGGTCTGTGGGGCGGCGACGTATAGAAGGCGGTCCAGTTTTTGCCACTCTTCAGCCTGCACTCCCTGTGATCATTAGGCTTGAGATAATTCGGGCTTTCGGTGTTCTTCCCCCTCGCCGCCAACCCAAGACAATGCGCTCAGTCATCCAATCTTTGTTCTCAGCATCTGCCTGGACATGTTTGCCCATCTCCATTAGCCTAGAACCTCGAGGCTCTCCGCAGCCGCAGCCCCTCCGGCGGCTGATTTTTGGCCCAGATAGCACTTTGGAATGTGAAACGCGCGGAGGGGTCTGGCCTCTCTATTTGTCAATGGATAGTTTTTACCATATTCCTTCCTGGGATTGATTTCTGAATTTTAATAGGCTTAGCTTGAAAGGATCTTCTTTGCATTTTTCATAATGAGGTTCATTGTTTGTTCCGAAATGAACATTGATTGACTAAGGTATGTTGTGCAGTCTACTTATTCTGTTTTCATTGTCTTATTCAATGTTGTTTGTTGCAGAGATCCGATGCTACTGCAATTTACCGGCATGCATCATGACCAGCTACATGTGCAAGTCAGAAGGTCTTGGGTGTTTCTCTGATTTGGTGGCCTTTGCTGACGTCACCAAAGCTAGCCATGGCTGTCTAGATCTACTGGAAAGGTAAATACATATTACCAGGAATTTACTTAGGACTATTGTTGTTATAGGCAACAATTAATTTGGTCCAAACCTGTTGACGATGATAGTGGAAGTAGGTTGAGCTTTTAGAACCACCACAAGCATATTATAGCCTCTTATGATTTTAAGTTGTTCAATATCACAAAAAAATATTAACCATATCAAACTTAACACCAATCCATCAGAAAGTTATTATTAAAATATTATAAAAAATTGACTCAGTTTTAATTAACCTCTTTCAGAGTTTGATCTGATTAGATCAAATATAAAATAGTTTAAAGGTCATTCTCATTAAGGTTTTAAAAAATCAATACAGTAGTTAGAACACTTGAATCACAAGTTTTCTGTTTCTGTGTGTAAGTTAAACTGCCTTCTTTCTGCTTGCAAGGACAACCTACCAATGGCTGTAGATTAGATTTGTTACAATACTGAATACTTGCTTTGCATTTTCTGTTCCAAGTTCTTGATTTTTCAAATAATAGACTACTTTTAATAGGTGAGATTGTAAGTAAGATTGTAAGTACATAATTGAAATAAATACACCCTTCCTCGACTCAATCTTTCTGAAGCATGGATTGGAAAGTATTTTAAATGCCATCCTTTCTATTCTTTCCCCAGCCAATTTTGTCATTCTAAATGAGTAAGTTGTAATTTAAATTTTCAGTGAGAGGCAAGACCAGTGTCAGAATGAGCCCAGTAGCCACGCAGTCAGCCAGCCCAGGTCCTTACTGCTCTGTTGCTATAGGGATTTGTGTAACCATGTGGACAGCCCAGAGACAAGACAGAGGTTCAACGATTCTGTTCTAGGTGAGTTAAGCTTTGAAATCAATTTGTTACTACAGTAGACTCTTGATAATTCAAAATTGGTGGGCCAAGCATATAAATTTGAATTATCAAGAGTTTTGAATTATCAAGAGTTCGATTTATCGGGAGAAAAATAAACCATTCGAATTACAGAGAGTTCATTTGTTTAATACATACACACGTACAGAACGTTAGAATAAAACATCATACCGTATTTTAGTACACTTTTAAACAATCAACGGCTTATTTTTCAGTTACCGTAGTTGCAAAGAAATCTGTTATTTAGTGCTATATATTTCGCCAATTTTTTGCAATATTATCAGCTGTCGACAACTACGTTTGTGCTCAAGGAGATGTCGCGCAATCTAGAAATCGGATTGCCAACTTAGAAAAACAAGCCAGCGAACTAACTCAGACTACTGCTCTAACTAAACAAACATCAAAACATCCAACACTAGCCTACCATGGGAACAGGATGTACTGTACTGTATAGTTTCCTGTTATAACAGGAAGAGATCACTTCGAATTATAGAGTGTTTTGCCGACTAAACTTCGAATTACTGCGTGACTTTGATTTATAGAGTGTTTTTTCGACGAAACTTCGAATTACAGCATGACTTCGAATTATAGAGTGTTAACCGACGAAACTTCGAATTACTGAGTTACTTCGAATTATAGAGTGTTTTTCCGACGAAACTTCGAATTACTGCGTGTTACAAATTGACCTGCCCTCTATTTGGACTTTGAAATACCGAGTGTATCAAAATGCATGGTAAAAATTTGAAATATTGAGAGATTCTCTAGGGACTGAGCCTTCATTTTGAATTATCGAAAGTTTTGAATTATCAAGTGTTTGAATTACCAAGAGTGGACTTGTTAATAACCTACAGTTTTTACAGTGGTCTACCGTGGTGTGGTTTATTATATTTTGACTGAATAGACCAGTGGTATTGTGCTAGGTGTAGGATCGATTCTGGATCTAGATGCTACATGTCGTTCTCCCTAATTAAATTTAAGATGCTGCATCATAACTATTTTATACTACACAAATTCAATTGAAACTCTTTCTCACTCACAAACATATCATCATTGGGTTCTCATGACTTATATAACTCTCTGAAATCTAATTGTACACAGTATGCCCCCCCCCCCCAAAAAAAAAAAAAAAAAAAAAAAAAACTACTATAAAACCTAAACTCTCAACATAACCTATATTTATACAGAAAGTAATCCTGCCTCCTTATTGGCATTTACTGAGAAGAAAGGGCAAATTGGTTATGCCTGATTTCCACCTCAGAGTTCATTCCAGCACTATAAAAGAGTGAATGGTGGACCATCACAAAAAGAGAATTGATAAAATGAGCTGCGTGAGGATGTGAGTGGACAATAGAGATTGTTATGGTGAAGGCATTGCCTTCATTACCAACTGTGACTCAACAGATATAGCTGGCGGTGCTTTTACCACCATTACCCACAACGCCACCAGTACTCACTAATCAGTACCTCTAGAGCCCTCTTACAAGTTGATTAATTATTTTTCATGAGTGTGTTTATTTAAAAAATATATTGACAGCCCTGAATATGAAAGTCTGCGCCTAAAAGGCAATATTTTCTGTACGGAAACTAATTTTATAATGATCACTTGCATTTAGTCCTTGGGATGAATCTAATCCAAAATGTTGAGATTGTAACACAGTAATAATTTGGATTTTTAAAAGTTGATTCATAGACTTTGTTGTTGGCATAAAGACAAAAACGTGCTTCCATATTTTATATATAGATGCTAATAATATTTTTAATAAGATATTGTGTAGATCATTGCAGAGGTGGCATAAATTGACTGTGTAAAAATAATCAACAACCACAATTCAGGATTTTGAAGCTGTTTCAAGTTTTGTATCAGATAAATTTGATTGGACTCCATTTTTCAAACCAGTTTCCATGTCTACATGGACAGGCAAATATATAAATTCCAATTGTGAATATTTAAAAACAAGGTCTCGAGTAAAATAATGTCTGCTTCCAAGTTTGACGCAAGCTTTAACTCATCCAGTTAGAGGATGGGAGATGCATAAATTAATGGGCAAGACATAATGAGTAGAACCACATGGGGGCAAGATGGCTGCCCAACTCTAAACCAAGCCCTCCTGGGGTCTTGATAAACCAGATACATGATACACAGGGGTGCCCACAAGGGGGGGCTGTGACGCAGACTGCGTCATTGAAATTCTTGGGGGGGGTTGCAAAATTTCAAATGGGGGGGGTGGCTTAAGTTAATTGCAACTGTGTTTAACGTGACGACAATCAATATGAAGTCACCAGATATAAAGTCGATTAATTAATGACAATAGTTATATTATTGAATTCAATTAGTTAAAATAGGATTTTAGGATTCGTGGAGGAAGTTATTATTCAAGATTAGCAAGACGTGAGATTTAAGAGGGAGGGCACGGAATGGCTCAGCTGCTGTGTTAGATAAAAGATAACGCGTGGTACAGACACGTCCAGCTACACCGCGAGTTAGCACAAAACGCTTTGTTGACATAAAACTTGTTAAAATACAATGAAGTAGCATAGGCTACAATAGTTTACACTATTGTGTAGGTACTCGATTACCTAAATGAATGGGTGAGGGGGTATTGAAAAATACGGTTAATCCATTATAGTATAAATAAACATAACTTATTATAAACCCATTAAAACGCTGTAAACAGCCATTAACATCGCGATTTGCATTTTTATAAACGAAATTCAATATTGCACAATCATTATTATTGTGCAATTAAATTATTATTGTACATTTCAAATCATTTATCTTGGTTCAGTTGCACAAACGGAAACTTTAAATTATGGCTAACTCAAACTCAACTAATAACTAGCCAAACACTGCATTGCTATAAATAACGTAAATATTAAAGGACCCTTTAGAAAGTGTTATAAGCTACTGCTCATGATGGACAGATAGGCTACCGGTAGGTGCTGTATCACAGCATAGGAATTGATAGATAAGTAACAAAAAAAGTGTAAAATTATATTTAGAGATAATAAAAACACTAATAAAAAAGAATGTGACGAAAACAATCTTGTTATTCTTTACTTTGTTCTTAGGTTCTTTATTAGGTTTCTCTTCAATTCATACACAAATTCATCAGTCGCCATATTTAGGCCTATTCATTGCCCAATCACAGCCTTACTAAAGTTACCATGGTTACTAATCACCCAATCACAGTTTACTAAGCATTATATCGTCACCATTCCCCAGCTGTTGTATCTGAAATCTGTTGTAACATAGCACACAGCAGACAGAAGTGTAACACGGAGCAGACGATTGTTGGCGCAAGCGTTGTTTCCATTTCATTTTCATCAAAGGAGCTATGATGTTTCCAAAGGGAGGGAGAGGTGGTCGTTATATCAAGAGAAAGACGCTGACAATTCGTTAAGCAGAGGTTACAAACGCTATACAGATATTCTGACAATACTGTAACAAATTCCTTAAATTGAGGTGACTTATAAAACTCTAATTTTGTTTATATAGAAAGATAAGTTTCCCAGTCCTGTACAACACCGATTCACGGTCTTTTCCCGGTAATCAAAATTAAAGTACAACTTGATACACACAGAATCTCCGGTTCCCGACCTGGATGATGTCTAGTTATTTAATTTAATTTACAGTTACATATACATATTAGTACCCGTGATAAATCAAACCCGTTATGTAAGCCAAAGCCACACGGTTATTAATCTCACTGGGTTTTGGATTTGCTTACAAACGTGATCGGAAATGGTTACAAACGTAATCGGAAATGGTTAGGGCCTACACAGTATTCGTATAAAACATTTATGTAAAGATATCAGTGACAGCTAGAAAAATGAATCTTTATCAAAACAGCTGTTCGTAATTTAATATATGACGTGTTCATTTAACAGATTATTAGTATTTCATAAATGACGTAGGCCCTACCTAGTAAACATGGAGAAAAAAACTAGAAAAATCACAAAAATTGGGTTTTTGATCGTCCGTTATTTTATCTCCAAAATAGTGAGGCCATATTTGATTGGCTAAGGACACTCTCGCCAATAGCTGTGAATTCAATTAAAGCATTAGAATCGTAATCGGTACTCTAGTTTTCTTTAGAGTAGGCTACGTAAAATGCCTTCTGTCACGACGGACATAAATTGAGATAAGACATGTTTCAATTTCTTCAATGTATAAAACGTAAAAATAACCCAAAATATGTATAAATTCTGAGCAATGTACAGACAAAACCATAACTTTATTTATATAGATTAACTGGGTTTGAATTTTCAATATCTGAAAAAAATGTATAAAACTTCTTTTAGTTTTACAAATAGTGCTGGGCGGGGGAATAAAGTTTCTTATTTGTTGTGTACCTCATTTATGGTGGGGGGGGGCTGTTGCTCAATTGGGGGGGGGGTGCGTCATGAGTCTAGGGGGGGATGGGCACCCCTGTGATACAAATAATGACCCTGCTCTCTCATAAACCTTTGAATATAGAAGTCTTGCTGTGATGACAGCTGGTTTGTTGATGTCCCATCCGTGCTTGCTCTGAGTCCATTAATTAATTGCCAAGTGTTGCGATTGCGATTTCTGTGGGAAAGATTTTTAGAGCACCACGTAGTTGTTGAAATATTGCAAACTATAAATAGAATCAATTTGTTTTCCCCTTGGACAAATTTTGTTTTTATTTATAAACTAAAAAAATGCACACTCAATGACAAATAAAAAAGTAATTGAAACTATTTAATGCTTAAAAAGTTGCGGTGGAGTTACTGGCAAAGAAATCTTTATACTGTAATACACTCAAACTCTGTAATAAGCCGTGACTTAAGATATTTTGTATCAAGTCTTAATACCTCTGGGAGATTTAAATCATTTACATCTTTCGGACCTATCCTCAAGAAACAGTGTTGTCTAATGCTTTTAGTACTATGAGTTTTGTTTTATTTGTTCCTTTTGTTTTTGTGATAGCCTACTATTTTTTTAAACTAGGTGTTCCAGTCAAATTTGGGTATTAATTTTATTATTTATATGAAAGGTTCATTCCTTTTAGTACTGAACAAAGTTTTACTAGAAAGATTAACTCCTGTTATATGTTCAATAATAAAAACCAACGTTAAAACTTGAATTTACTGAAATGTGCTGTCAGTTAATGATCCATCTTACTATTATAATAACAGCAAATCGTACAATCAACTTATCTAGTCATAGTAGACGTGTTCCCATTGAGTGTTGGTCTGCAAGAGGGTTTTAGTGCCCACTACACACACATGATGTAAGCCAGACCTGTAGACAACATTAACCAGATGTCTTACTAAGTGACAGCTTCCTTTTCTGTTTGAACTTAAAACATTTTCATTTCATATTCAGGGAAATACTTAGTGAATTTTGCTTTGGTACTATTGCCGCAGCCAATTTTCTCTTTTACAATGGCAGAAGCAATTCGAATTCAAGCTTATTGTAGCATTATTATAGATAGTTTCTTGGGAAGATTAAATAAAGTCGTCGTTTCAAAATTATAGTAAGGGAAGGGGGATCTTTATTCCAGAGCTAGTTGTCAACAATGCTACCTCTATTTTTTTTTTTTAACAAGTTCAACTAGCTTCCACACCACTAGGTTAAAGAAATGTGTTGTTTGCTGATTGGTGGGATTTAAACATGGTCCATCAAGTCAGAAGCTCCGCACTCTGGACTTATCTGGCCTGAAAGAGTCTTCTATAGATCTCCCACCACTAAAATCCTTGCAATATTTGATTACTATGAACTTAATAAAAATATAACGCTCAATTTAACAAACCCTAACTTGACCGGATTATAAAGAAAAATATCGGCTTTAGTCACTCACAAGACCACAAGATCGCGCCACTCAACCTTCACTCATATTTGGGTTAAGATATGCAGCTAGTGGGATCCCCATCTTAAATAATTGATAATTGACCAAATTTCTTTACAATTAATTACGGAAAGTATTAAAAACTATAAGATAAAAATTCAAATATATAGTTTTAGATTACCATACTCTGTGAGTGGCTCAGTCAACTATGTTTATTTGAATAAATAATTGGCTACAGCTGGCCCATATAGATGGGATCTTTACTCCATTCCATTGTCTGTGACTCCATTATCCCAAAGTCAATGATGAAGAACAGTTTCCTTTTCCTACAGTTACCTGACAAAGTGGGCTTTCTTGCACTGATTATAGCACGCCAAGTAGCTAATTGATGCACTTACTTTTGTTGCACTCATTTTACTTTTGCCGCACTCATTTTTTTTTTGCCGCACACCAGTATTCCAACCAAACAACACAAAACAGTGTGCTTTTATTAGGCTTGTAATACGTGTACCCTTAAAAATTTGAAATAAGTTGGCAACACTTAAAGATCCTACAACTACGATCACCTGGGGCAGTGGACATTTTGTTCAACGCATGGATTTAACAGAACCTAAAAAGTGTTTAGTGTTTGGATGACTAATTATTTCCATGCTTTATAGTAACTGTAGGAAAATATCATATGTAACATGAGCGCAAAGGGCCTTTACTGCATCCAGAAGCTTACCACACTCGCCTGCGTCTCGTGCATAAACATTTTTCTCATGTGCAGCAAAGAGCCACTTCGCACACTAGTTACACAAATAACTAACGAATCAATTTTACTACAATTTTAAACTACAATTTTAAAATTGTAACAATTTTTTTAATAAAATTGGCACTCTATTACAGCGTCTTCTCTGGTGAATGACATGGACCGAGGGGTGATGATGGTGCATTCTCGACTGCGCCAGACCACCGCGCCAGGCTACACCAGTGCCGAGGTGTGGTTCCGCGCAGCCACCATAGCAGTTCCCATCTGTGGTGCACTCATCCTCTTGGTGCTGATAGCTTTGGCTGTACGAATCCTGCAGTCAGACGCCATGGATGACAGAGTGCTCGCTGCAAAGCTGAGGTTAGTTATGGGATTTACTGTAGGTTTACAAAGATTGGGTAATGGGTGACATCAGAGTTCAGTTGAAGCCAGTTTTAGTTAAATCTGTATAATTGTGAGTTTTAGCTACCGGTACTACCTAAATTTAAACGTCTCATTTCACAGTGTATGGTAGGCCTAATGATAAGAAATTTGTTGTTTACCAAATTGATCTACTGAATCTTTCTTGATGATACATTTGACAGTTTGAGAATACGTCTTAGTATTTTTTGGTAACATAATTTTAAAATTGATTGCTTTCTTTGGTTCTAAATAACTAAAGTTGGGACCACGAAAGTTTGCAGTTGAGGGAAGAGCCTATTTACCACGTGACTTCGAAGGAGCCAATGAGGATAGTGCGGTGTTGCCAAATCTAATAATACCAGCTGATTTGAAAATATTGTTTAGTATATAATTAGTGTCGTCAACGGGCGATATGGCAACATTGCACTAGCCTTATCTTGTGATTGGCTGTCGCCAACTGCAAACTTTCGTGGTCCCAACTGTAAATATAAAATTTAGAGAATAAACTGTAAAGAAATATTTCACTGAACAATACTTATTTGTTAGTAGGAGGTAAATGAGTGAAAATTTAAAAACGTACGTTTTCATGTCCCTGGCCTTTTACTTCGTAGATACTGGATTTGTAGTTTATTATTATGTGTTTTAATATTTTTTGGGACGGGGGCAACATGTTACACACATTTATTTGGTTTTAAATAGGTTCTAGGTATTTTTGTCGTATTTTTAAAGTCTCAAAATTCACGACCATGACGTGTCCCTAGGGTACATTTTCCAACTTTCACGCTGTTTTTAGACTAATTATTCATGCCGAAATATATAAAGCCATATTTTTATGTCATCAATGGTTATTAAACTTACAAAAAAGGAGCATATTATAATTTTATTGTCATTGCAAACTGACTACCATGACAAAATAAGTCTGTCCCTCGATTTGGCGTCACGACCATTTGGGAAAAATTGTCAACTTTGGAGCCCGACAGTGGCAAGCCTGGCATCGATGGAGTCAGTTGGTTTGAGAGACTAGTTCGGGGTGTACGTCAGGATTGTAGTGCCGGTCGTTTCGAGTTGAAAGGAGGAATTACAAGATTAATAAAGGAAAGATTGTGTTTTTTGTAATTTTGGTGTGTCCATGACCGTACGTAGTCATTTGATGAAGTAGACATGGTGTTAATTTTTGTTTATAAGATATTTCAATTGCTAGATTAACCTAGAAGTCCACTTTGTATCCTCGAACATGAGGTGCAGGGCTACCGCCAGAACAGAGCCAAATAACACGTAATTTCACGACCAAAGTTTCACGACCATCGCGGGTTTTATCACGACCAATCCAGCCTTATGGATTATAGTGTGTTTGGTCGTGACAATAACTTTAATATAATTGTGAATTGAACAGTTTAGTTAAATTCAAACACATATTTTTATTATAACTAACAGTATAATTGAAGGATTGCCTAAAAAGATTTAAATTATTCCAGACAATTCACGACCGTACCGCTTGTCCCTGACCATCACGTTTATGATTTCTATCATAACAATTTCAAAAATTAAAATATCGTCATATTTCAATGTTTTATACACAAAAGAAGCACACCTCTATACAAACATAACGATTTTCGGGTCTCAGGTAAGTTTTTTCGTAGTTATACAAACTTAAAAAGATTTTATTGGCTTTTTTCAATTTTTTGAGTTTTTTTATTTTTTTCTGGAGAGACCAAATATACTAAAAGCTTAGTGACCTTTTTATTGTATAATGGTCATAAAAGTAAATTAGTTTATAGCAAAACATAGTTATAAAAATAATAGTAACCATTTTTAATATTCATTTAAACGTCCGTTATGGTCGTGACAGGATTTTGTGTTTTTCCACTAAAGATGCTCTTTTAAAAAATAACTACCAAAGATATTGCGTTGCCATGGACATTTTATGAAACTTCAAATGTTAATGAAATAAAAAAAAATAATAAAAGTTTTGAAAAAAGGGGAAAAAAATTTGCAAAGTGCTTTTCCTGAAAACGTACGTTTTTAAATTTTCACTCAAATACTATTAGGGATTTTACTATCATGATTCAATTCTTATACCACTTTTGCCTACTTACCACATCTGTTTTTTTTCTGAGAGTTCATTCCATTGTTTTGTTCTTTGTTGTGTAATATTCTAAATAATGTGTATGAATGTTCTATTTGGAACACTTGTGTAAACTGATAACTTGTCATTTGGTTTGCTTAACAATAGAACGCAGATCGCAGATGTTATTCAAACAACTTAAGACAATATAAACAGATGGTGAGATCCTCTTTAGCTATTGTATAACTATTGTGACATATTCTCAAAACTTTGTTCTGGAAATGAATCATTCACAATGTTACATCATGTCAATTGCCAACTACTTAAAACTATTTAAAAAACGGTCACCATATTAATCTTAGATGTATGCAGTTTGGTTCAGGTGTTGTCAGCGCTCAATCATTTTATAGTCTTGTCTGGAAAAAAAAACTTTTGTTTTATTAACTAATATTTTTGGAGATTACAGTTTATAGTATCTAATGTTTTCTATTTTGTTTTCAGAGCCAAACATAGCGGGTTCTCCCCAGTGAGTCTGAACGGTCCAAGTTTTGTGCACCAGTTACACGAGCATGACCGGAATGATATAAACGGAAGCAAGAAGATGCCTCTTCTGTTCCACCACGAAAGTAACACATCCGTTTCCAATGTCCCATTTATGGGATGCGTCAACAGACCTACCAACCATGGGCAGGGTGTCAATGTTCTGCACAGTTGCCAACAACGCCACAAGAACGAAGCCAACGCCAAACTTAATCTGTCTCAAAACGGAGCTGAAGTTATCAGTCCAGTGGTTCCAGTTCCGATCGTTCCTGTTCCGGTGACTCCTATAGATTCATCGTCTCAGACCGAGTTGGAATCGGCTCCGTGTAATCTGATTGATCTGCACAAGTCCAGCAGCTCTTGTAACAACAACTGCAACATCTACCAACACGAAGATTCTCCTGACGATCTAAACCCGGCGTGTTCACTCCTCGCTGCTGTTCCTTCCAGCCACAAGTTGACGTACAAGAAGCCACTTGTCATCACTTGGACGGAAGACGATGCCAAGGCTTCCCATCCTCAGTAGCCATTTTTGATCTCCCTTGCGAATTTCTTGAGAATCTGTATTGTGACTCTAGCCGCTTGACTAAATATTTGTGATCGTTTAGTTTTAGTTGTACATTATGGGTAATATTACTCTTATGCTGTGATCCTTGAGAACTAAATGTTGATGCTTTTCTACCAACAACGCTGTTTTGTGGTTTTGTTATGCATCACATTTATTTAGTTTTAGATTCGTAAGCTGCCAGCATTTTAGTTATAGTTTTGACACTGATATGAAAGACCAGTTTTACTTGAATGCTAAAAATGTATGTTGTCTTTAAAATTGTTTGTTATTAGGTATATTACAACTATTTTTGATTACTTGTAATAACACCTTGTGTAATTTTCACTAAATGATTTCAAATGGTTGTCTAAACCACTTGTAAAAGTTGAGTAGCCAAAGACACCTTAACAAATGTTGCGTGGCAGCTTAACAATAATAAGACTAAATGCTAGCCAAGACTTTGATTTTGTTTAGCTCATCTGATAGTCCTAGTCAATGTAAAGTTTTTTTTTATACATTTTGTATATATTTTTTATTCTAATATTTGTTGACTTTGCAAAATGGTTTTCAAACACATTTAACATTTTTGATATCCAAATTATTCATAAAATAAAACGTGATGGAGCTTTGGATATGTTGGAAAATTGTTTTGGTAATAATTTTGTTTATATGATTTTGAAGATCATTTCGAGTTACCCAAGTGTATCCTTTTGTACCATAAATATAATTAATTAACTGTACATAAATAATGTTTAACTTTGGATTATCCTAAATAAAATAAAGAACTTTGAGGAACTTCTAATAGAAATAAAACTAGTGTTGAATTCCACACATATAAAACATATTTGTATACAATACTTTGGTTTTATACAACACTAAATAAAAAGTAACGCAAATAATCAGTAATGTGAAATTTGTTTATCCTCAAAACTTGTCTAAAACATTTACTTTGAAGAGTATAACATTAATATATTCTTTTTAGTGAAAATCTTTCAATGTAAAAAACTACATTATTGTAAGTAACTGGGGTACTGATCGTTACATTTATCCATTTCTAAAAAAATTTGCCCCATTTCACACATTTACATTTCTTTTGTTACATATTTCTATCAATTAACTAGGGTAATCTTTAGTTAAGCCTATTGTGTTTCAAATGTGTATATTCTTTTGTCCAAATATTTGTATAATATGTCAACATACTGTAAATTTATAAGACTGTACTTATGTAATAATATCAATCAAAATCTTTAGTGCCTAAAGCAGCTGCAAAGCTTTCGGTTAAAGATTATAACCAGCACAAAAAATGTGTTTGTGATCTATCCATAATAAAGGGATTTTATTTATGATACATACTCTGTATTGTTTCCTTCCTCTTGTTATAATCTATTATTCTAAGTTTCTGAAGCAACAAGCAACATTTTAGGCCGTAAAGTCGATCAAGTATAAAGAAAGAAATGTGTTATTGATTAGCACTTCAATAAAACAAATACATCCTCTACTATTTCATTTCCTTGCATTTATTCATAACCTTTTGGCTACTGGTGCTTATCCACCTCAAATATTTCGGTTCACATGAAAGCCTTTGACAGCCTACATTTATTCGCAGGATAACAAACTAATGATGAAGCCCAGCCTGCCATACGGCTGTGCTTTTGGTAAATGGTATTGGCTCAAGAAAAGACCCTTATTAGTTGTAACAAAGTCTCATAATATGGCATCAGACCCATTCCACACTCATCTTCCATTATATTATTTGGGTCAGTAAAGTTACACGGGCTGTAAAAAAAGGAAATTTTATCATAAGGCGATGTCAATTAAAACCTGAAACAAGCTCAAAATCAAGCATACCATTCTACAGGACTAAGGTTAATAATGCTCACAACAACCAGAAGATTGTTTATTCGATCCTACGAGAAGCGCACCGGTATGGTACAATATTTTTTGATGAAAAGAAACTGTAATTTGAACTCAAACAGATAACTAGTAAAAAATGGCAGCAGTTTTCTTGAATCTGCCATTTTGAATCTTTGAACGACTGCCTCTGCCATCTTTCACTCAGTTGTTCTTTTGAGCTTGAATTTACGGCATTGTAATCTACTAATGAAGACCTTTAATTTGATGTGCATATCGACCTATGCTTAAGTTAACGATTTTCTTCCTGAGGAGTTAGCGTATAATAGCAATGCAAATTAAATTAATCCTTGAACCGCTGTAATTTTTGGCTCGGTTATCCGTTTCAGTTCAAATTTGTGGCATTATATTCTGCTAGGAAAGGTCTTTAATTTTATGTACATATCAACCTATGATTCTATTTTTTCATTTTTTCCCCTTGATTTCCTTCTGACTCCTTTCGGGATGTCTCCATGATATGACAATGACAGAAAATTGATAGTTCCTTAAAAAAGTAGATTTTTAGGCGTGATATTGATGTACCAAATCTTATTGATTTATCTGTTGTCGTTTGGAAAATATTAAGCCCGTGCGGGACTTTATATACACCCTGTATGTGGTTACATAAGCCTCTTCTTGATGTTAAGCGCTTGAATGATGCTAAAGAGCAGTCAGTTGTTATGTTGGATACTAATTCCAAATGAATAACCTTTGTGGTAAAGCAAACAAGAACCGTAGAATGGGGTGAATAGAAACAACAGGGTGAATAGAAACAAAACTTCAATGAATGATTCACATTTTTATAACTTTGTTATACATTGACTTTATATAAGGGAATTATTTTCCCCCATTATAACCATATCCTATCTACCTGTGAAAAATTATTTCAGCATATTGGTATCACTGCTTTGGATGTTGGATGATGCGAATCATCATTTGAAAATTTTGGCGAAAAACATTCTTTTCAAAACTTTCTCTCTAAGTATGAACCTATTACATGTATTTATGTTAATAACCATTTTTTATATTGTCTTAGGTATCTTAAAACCAAGTGTGTTAATAGATTAGCCTTAGAATAAACTATATTTTTTTATTTTATTTTTTATTTAGGTTATGTCATGATTTTGCAAAACCAGGGTGAATAGAAACACTTTTTTTGGAACCAGTGTTGCAAATAAAGGTTGACCTGAAAACCCCCCAAAAAAGAAAAAAAATACCAGAGATTCCAGTGATACCAGTGATTCCACACACACACTTCTCACTGGAAGAAAGTGACAAAGACGAACAATTTGATAAAGAAGAACCAGCATACCTAGCTCAAGACATCAGTGAGTCTTCAAAGTTGTCCCTTCATGATCATGGAATTGTCAAAGTAATGGGGAAAAACAAAACTTGCTATCGTTTATATGTTGCAAAAGTTATTGAATTTGAAGAGGAAGGATAAATAGGAAGATTCATCAAGAAAATTGCGCAAACCAACAAGTTCTGAGAGACAGATTAAGAGGCCCTCTTCAAAGTCGATGACGTAGTACGTCAGCTTCCAACTCCCAAGCCGTGTACAACTTGTAAATTTAAGGGAGTGTTGTATTTTGAGGAAGATTTGTCTGATTTTACTCATCATTTAGTTGGTTTCTATGTAAGATTTTGTAACTCTGATTTCACCCATTGTCATTTATGTTCTCCGATTTGTTTGGATAAGGGTTTATGAAAACGATGTTTTTATACTTCGTACTTATAAAAAAATGTGTTAATTAACTTTAAATATTTTTATTTACAACAAACTAAGCTAACAAGCATAAATTTCATGTTTCTATTGCCCCTGGTAAGTGGGGAAAAGCAACAATCATCAATTTAACACAGTGTTTCTATTCACCCCAAAGTGCGGGGTGAATAGAAACAGCCATATTTTATTTTTTTTCTGCTTAATGATTAAAAAGAAAAAAAAAATGATAACTGGTTTGAGTAGAGGAATCCAAGACCGAAAATATGAGCTAGGTTGAAAATTCAAAAATTAAAAATATCGTTTTTACAGAAGCTTAAAAGTCAAAAAGTGTTTCTATTCACCCCATTCTACGGAACTGCAATATATTCCCTTAATTAATGAAAACTTTTAAAGGCAGTTTGACCGTATATCGGTCCGCAATAATCAACTCCTGTAATCTCAAAATGCCGTGATGGATTCATTCGATGTGCAGGTAAGTTTCTCATTTCATGTTGCATGTATTACAACTTAGTTTTAAAACATGGTATGCACTTAATATGGATGATTTTCCTTATAATGTTCTTGGCATTTAGCGGCCAAAATTGTTGTCTTATGATATATAGAAGTGTTTGAGGACCCACATGCGGATATGTTCATTTTCAATTATTAAATGAGTGAAATAGGATTTAGCAGGCAATACAGTTTGGTGTTTGTCACTTTGACCTAATTTGCGTTGTCTAGCCGACCGCCTTCTCGAATGATTCTTGAATCTTGAGTTTTACAATTTTGTATAAATCTCATACAATATGCGGTGATACAGTTTTTGTTTCTTGGAAAACTTCTTCAGTATTATATAGTCATCTGTTTGTTTTTCATTTGATTGAACTATTGCTGCAGAAACTGTGTACAGTGCTTTCTTCTTTCTGGAATGTCTTTTGAAGGTGTTATGGAAGTTGCAAGGTCCTAACGATAACCAATGTGGCACTGAATTCCACAAATCAGATCTTATATGATTTCGTCGACTGTTAAATCAAACCTCTCGGATACGAGATCTGCGGGGTTGTCTTGACTTGGAACATGTCTCCAATCTTAATAATCATTTAGATCCTGAATCTTTGCAATAAATGTTTTCCAGCATGCTGCTTCTGCATTTAACCAGGATAAAACAATTGTCGATCCAGTATGTAGCCCTTTCAATATGTTTGTTTATAAGAGCGGTTTTGACATGTGACAGTTAGAAGGAAAGCTCCGCATAATTCCTATATTGGAAGTGACTGTGTTTTCAATGGTGTTACTCGATTTGAACAGAGAAGAATAGCTTCAGTTCCATTGCTTAGTTCGTGTTTCAAGTAATTTTGATGCTCCATATATGCCTTTTCAGAAGCATCTGAAAAACCATGATGAAGCTCAAAAGTTCCCTCTATTTGGTTCATTGTTACCGTACACATCTTCATAAATTAAAATTGCTGAGCAAAGTTAAATCATAGATAAAACATACTCCCTTAGGTTAAATCTTGTTTGAATGGTAGTCTTTCATCTCTTGTGTTATTGTTCTGGGAGTATAGGCCTACATCGTTCCATTTCATACTCCTCTAGTGAGTGAACCTCTGTAATGTATATAATAATAAGTAAAATATACTTCTATAATCATAGTGTGGCTGTGACCGCTAGTACCGTGTGCAGAATTTCCCTCTCCCCTTCTCTCTAAAACGGCTTCTATGTAAAACAATAATTATGAGTTAATTAATTCCCTCTTCCTTTGCCCAACAACTGAAAAAGAAGTTGCAACTGAGATAAGGTTGATGAAAAATAAGAGTTCAGCCGGCACAGATGAAATATCTTCAAGGCTACTAAAAGAAATAGGTGATGTAATCTTGACACCTCTAACTCATTTAATTAATTCGTCTTTTATTTCTGGTCAGTTTCCTGATACTCTAAAGCTCTCTGTTGTTAAGCCTATATATAAAAAGGGGGATGATCGTCTGTGCGATAACTACAGGCCAAATATCAATTGTGTCAACGTTTTCCAAACTTTTTGAAAGATTATTCCTAAAAAGATTGCTGGAATTTCTACATAAAAATGACATACTCACCAGTAAACAGTTTGGGTTCGTAAAAAACAGGTCGACAACAGACGCAATTTATCACCTTGTATCAACTGTGGTCAGCGCACTGGATAGAGGTGAGAAAGCTTTGGGATTCTTCTTCGACCTGACCAAAGCATTTGACACAGTGGATAATGACCTTCTCAAGCAGAAGTTACACTCTTATGGAATTAGAGGGCTGTCACTACAATGGATCTCGTCTTACCTTGCCAACCGAAGTCAATATGTGGAGGTGAAAGCAGTGGATAGCGCTGGGTGTCTACGCCCTCACAGATCCTCTACTGGCACGATCGTCAGTGGAGTGCCTCAGGGGTCGGTTCTTGGTCCGGTACTGTTCCTCCTCTTTATTAACGACCTCCCATCAGTTGTTCAAAAGGGTGAAATATGTCTTTTTGCTGACGACACCTCTCTCGCTGTCTCCAGCCCAAACCGACTCGAACTAGACATGTGTGCCTTTATACAAGCCAGTTGCTTGTTGCAGTGGTTCGACGGAAATCTCCTCAAAATCAATCCAACAAAAACTCAGCTCGTTGAATTCTCAATTAGGAAAACCAAAAACAAACTAAATGTTATTGTTTAATCTATGCTGAAACTGAAACCACTGCTCAAGTAAAATTCCTGGGTTTGTTGTTGGACGAGAACTTGTGTTTCAAACCCCACATTGATTCTGTCTGTAGAAAGATCAGTTCAGGAATTTTTCTTCTGCGCCAACTAGCAAAATTTTCAAACAAAGATGTACTTCTTACTGCTTACTACGTGTACTTTATCCACACATGATATATGCAGTTGCACTATGGGGAGGTGAAAGCACAAGAACCCATTTCCTTTTTCGCCTTCAAAGGAGAGCTATCAGAATAATTCACGGCCTTCCCTACAAGAAACTTGTAGAGCTGTATTTAAATCATCCGCAATTCTAACTTTTCCCTGTATTTACATTCTAGAAGTCCTCACTTTTCTGAAGTCAAATTATTCTCATTTCCACACTACAACCACCCACTCATATCTGCTTCGCAATACTTTCAATCTGAGAATTCCAGCCCATTCAACCACATTCTTTGAAAGACATCTAAACTATAATGCCATCAAACTGTTCAATGCTCTCCCACTTCAAATCAAGTCCACATCAGATCCGGGATGCTTCAAAAGGCACTTGAGGTCATTTCTCGTGGGTCCTAAAGGCTACTACAGTGTCCGCGCCTTTTTCGCTGACGGACAGTCCTAATGAATTTTAATTATTTTAAAAGTTAGTTAATAGTTATTTTTAGTAAATTTGACTTGGCTAATGCATTTGTAATGTTAATCTTGCTAAATAAATGAGTTATTGAGTTAATTGACTAAATGAATGCCAATCGCTAATCATTGCTACTCTGTCGTCCTAAACAGTACAGAACCAAAGCAAATTCTCAGAATAGGGTATATGCTCCCTGGTTTATTAGAAAAAAAACATTTACAGGAGGAGCTTTTTTGTGTAGGGTCTATCATCTTGACCTTCATTGGGAAATTCACATTAAAATGAGTGTTCAAGGAGTACTGGTTTTCATAAACGATTATTGAAATTGTCTACATTTATGTTAGGCAGCAATACATAATGTTATTTCTTATCGTTTGAAAAAATATTACTGTAAAATCTAAAATCATCTATGAATATGTAACATATTAAACTAAAAATTATATATTTTGTAAAAAAGTGAAATTGGGTTATGGTTCTACCGGGCAAAGAAATAAAACGTAAAGAATAACCAAATAAGCTTATTCTTATTCTATATCGAAGTGTAAAAAATAATCAATGCTAAAGCCAAAGCCTGGTAGACGTTTGTAATGAATAATCAGGAGGTATAATAAAGCTTGAGAGCCAGAGCTGATGTATAAAAAAGTTCTCTTACCACCATTGACATGTGCTAAGTATGGTATAGACCTCTTATCCTGCTGTCAAATCTGGAACAGCATTAATTTATTTTTGTTTTATATGTCCTTTCAGTGGGTTGTCAATTAAATGAGCTTTTGACCCCTGTATGCCTTGTTATCTTATGGTACTCCTGGAACTAAATAACATTGCTTACGACGTTGCCAATGTCTACCATGGTGGAAGGAAATGAATGTCCACCAGGGGCCCATTTCATAATAAACTACAAGTTACAAGTTACAACTTGTAACTTGTAATTTCCATTAGATTTGCATTGGGCGATCAGCTGATTTATTAATAATATTAGTTTGTACTTTATTATGAAATGGGCCCCTGGTCGTGGTCTGGAGTTAAAGGTGTATCGATGCTAAATTTTAGGAAGCAGTAAAAAAGAAGACTTTTGCAGATGAGTTTAACATTATAAAGTTTATAAAGTTCTTGTCATATTTATGTAGGTAGTGGTTTGACCGTTGGTATGAATAAATAAATAAATAAATAAATAAATACATAAATAAATAAACACTACAGCTGCATGGTAAAAAAGAAAGCAACCCTTTCTAGTAAACAAGATAATAAAGTTTTTTTGGTTATTGTTACTGTGAACTGAACTTTTCTGTCCACCATTACTAAAATTTTAAATGAAATAGAAATCCAATGAGATAATATGAAACTTGAACTTAAAAAAAATTAAACAAGACATTCAAAATTAAAAAAAAAAAAACATCTAACCACACCAACTTACCTATGAACCTCAGTGAACTAAATTTATTAGGAAAACTAAAATAATTTCCTAATCAGCATCATGATAGCATTTCGAAAAAGCACCGGAAAAATTTATAGAACCGTCGTTTTTTATGTATATATTTTTTATGTATATCTGTGGCTACATGGTAACTTAAGCAAGCCAGCTTTCTAAAAAAAACTAGAAAAGAAGAAGAAAAAGAACTTTTCTCTTCTCCTCTCCTTTGCGTTGGCGGTTACGGTTTATTTATTATTATTATTGTCGTTTGTTTGTGTTGTGTTTGTATTGTAGGTTATGTATAAGATTGTATTGGTTTTTATACTTTATCTTTCGGTCAATTGGTTTAATTTTGGTTTTAAACTATGTGTGTAATTAATTTGGTTACGGTACGAAAACCTGTGGGATTCTCTCTTGAGCTATAATTTTTGTGTTTAGTAAGTCCGTAACGGTTCCAGGCCAAGGAAGGACTAGGCTTGCAATTCAAATAAGAAAACCAAACCCAACTGCACTTCATTAGCGATTTGACATGAGTGGAAGGTCCCCAAATTTTATTCCAAGTCCACGGTTTTGTAATGTCACACCAAATAGAAACCAACATTTTCCTCCTAGACAACCTCTATATTTACCCCCCAACTCTCCGTTCTTGAGTCCCAGATCACATCGAACGCCTAGTCCTAGAGGAAGCCCAAGGCCCAGTGGTGATGGTTCTGATTTCATACCATTGGGTATTAGTAGTCCTGTAAATAGAGCAAGACAACATTGGAGTAGAGGTGGCAGTTTTAGTAATAATTCCAGTTACTCTACATATTCAACTTCAAGTACTCCCTCCAGTTTTAATTCCAGTCATGGGTACTCTCCATACAAGAGGCATAATTCAAGGGGTAATTTTAGAGTAAGTATCTTAAAATTTGTTTAAGCTAATTACAGTATTAGGATAGGCTGCACTTTACTTTAGGTCCTACACTCATTCGAATGAAAATAATCGATTATTCGATTGTTACATTCGATATATCGTTTGGTTAGTTAGGTTAGGTTAACCTTACCTAACTAACCAAACGATATATCGAATGAAACAATCAATTAATCGATATATCGATCGATATTTTCATTCTAATGAGTGTAGGACCTGAAGTAAAGTGCAGCCTTAGGATAAGTTAGGCGTAGCATTCGCCAGCTTTAAAATATAAGTTTCAACTAGGCATAGAAGGCTTAAGTACGTATGAGCCTCAAAAAGTGAGGCTAGAACTGAGTGTGTAGAAGGTCTCGGGTTAACATACATCTCATAGCTCACATCAGGTTTGCACAATCAAATCTACGCATGTGGCCTGCTAACCATCAATCAACTAGGTCTGTTAAAGTTGACAAATTGAAACATAAGTAAGTTACATAGGCCTACAGCTGACAACTACGATAAACAAACGTTGTTCAGTATAAAAATAAAATAAAAAATATAATATTGAACTGAAACTGAAATGAAAGTTTCATTACAATCTGTCGAGCGGTTTCGGAGTCCATAAAGGACAAACAAACATACATACATACAAACATATACATACAAACAAACATACATTGGATTTGATATATATAGATTAATTCAAATATCCTCCCATAAGTTTAACTCCGATCATTTCTTTGATTTTTTGTTTTTTTCTTTAGGCATGAATTGATTAGTAGGCTACGTTTATTTTTTGATAACATAGTTTTAACACGTTGACTGCAAACGCCGACTTTATTTGGCTCTGCCGGCGCATGCCTTGCATAAAAGTGGTGAACATTCCTTGTTATTTTTTGTTTGTTATTTGTAGCTTAAAAAATAGTTTGTTTTGTTTTTAACTTAGGCTATTTGAATCTTACCTTCACCGCATAGATGAATTATTGTTTCCTCTGATACTGAGTAATTCTGTTTTTCAGGGTAGAGGCAAATTCAACCACAGTGGGTCTGGTTCTCCTCCTATTCATCTGTACTTTGACAAAGAGGCATTGGAAGATCCCTGGGCAGATCTTGCTGAAAAGCTAGAGAAGAGGCAAGGACACAAGGCAAACAAAGTAACTGATAGTGAAAAAATCGTCGATGAATCTAGTGGTTCTGAGGTGTCGGAGGGTGATGAGGATTTGTGATCTTAGAAACCTTGGTAAAGCACGTTACTAGTGTGTGCCTTGTACAATAATTATGTATATTACAAATTATTCATAGGCTACAATGTTTGTAAGTACAAATGTTTTTAATTATTTCTAATATTCTAATTCAAGTTTTGTAGAGTACAAATGAAAATAAATGTGTTTATTTTGTATTTAACTTTTATAGCCTAGTTCATTTTTACAGCCCCAGGATTGCATAAACAAATAATGACTAAAACTATAGATAAAGCAATTTCCCTTTGTAGATTTGTCATCCTTAAGGAACAGCTGAAGCCAATTTTATTGTTAGTTCTGTACGTCGCACTGTAGAGGTCTTGTTTTGTTTACAATTAGTTTCTTGTTAATTTCAGTAATTTAAAACCTCGTTTAACCTATAAAAATGATCTAATCACAAACAATAACTGGTCTCCTACTTATTTAACAAAAAAACTTATCATCATTCAATAGATTCCCCAACAAACCAGTGTGTTTAGTTATTGTGTCTATCACCTGTACTTGACGTAGATTTTTGTGGGCTTCACTCACCTTTATTTTTGTTTGTGATGTCCGGGACTCGTCAAAACACACATCCTACAACACAAAATCGTCCACGGCATCAAGGTCCGACGTTTCGCGGAACTCAAAACAACGTTCCGCTTCTTCAGGGTATTAATAAACTATTTTTAGCCCGCACGCGGGTCGAACGCCTAACCACGACTGCCGGATCAGCTGAGCTTGGGGGAGGACGGGCGGGGGCGGGGGTAGGTGCATTGTCCATTGTTGATAAGCCATTCACGCTCCTGGCCTTATCTCGTAGTTGTTCTAGTTCGTTTTTAACAATGTAAGAACGAATTGTTTAATTGTTTAATTGCCTAACACTCTGGCGATAGTACGTGAAAAACTTGAAAATGACCTGATGCTGGAAGATAGAACCAAAATTCCTGTGTCTAATATAATGGAACTGTTGACAGTCTGCGTTAGGTCAAACTACTTTCTAGTAGAGAATAAATATTATGAACAAACTACAGGAATGGCAATGGGCGGCGTTTTAAGCCCGATCCTATCTAATATTTTCATGGAAAAGTTTGAACAGGACGCAATTGAATCATTTGAAACTAAGCCTAGAGTCTGGTTACGGTATGTTGATGATGTTTTCTGTATTTGGGAAGATTCAATGTCAGAACTATTAAAATTTAAAGAACACCTTAACAGTCAGGTAGAGTCCATACAATTTACTATTGAACTGGAAAAAGATGATAAATTACCGTTTTTAGACGTATTGGTCCAGAAACAGTCACAAGGTTGGATCACTAGTGTGTTCAGGAAACCTACTGCTACTGGCCAATACCTCAACTTTGCCTCCAATCACCCCACACACGTTAAGACAGGTCTAGCCATTGGTTTGATTAAATTTGGCTCAATTTAAGCCAAATGGTTTGATTAAACGGGCCGAATCCATCTGTAGTACTGAGGAAATTTTTAAAACAGAGCTGGAAAACATAAAAACACATCTCCAAAACTGTGGATACCCTCCCCTCGTTTTTGCTAAGGCCTTAAAAAGCTTAAATAAAGTAAACATTCCAGAAGACCCCAGCACCAGGATAAAACCCCTGACCACTGTATGTATTCCATACGTTAAAAATGCTTCTGAAAAATTGAGACGGGTGAATTCCAAATACAATATAAGAACTGTCTTCAAAAATAAATATACTATCCGTAGTCGTGTCACAAAACTAAAACCCGTTAATGAGCAACAAAATACAAAAGACATTGTCTACAAAATCCCGTGTTCTTGTGGCAGAAATTATGTGGGCCAAACTTCTAGGCCAGTTAAAGTTCGAATAAATGAACACATAAAAAAAGTCAAAAACAAGGATAAGTATGGTTCCAAGATATGTGAGCACGTTGTAGAAACGAATCATATTGTTGATTGGGGTTCGTCTGCAATTCTATACAAGGAGTCTGATTGGAGGAAACAAAATACGGCAGAGTCGCTTTTCATGGCAATAGAAGACGAGCCACTCTCACGACCATCGGTGGATGTCAGTACGGTGTACTTAAACATTGTTAAAAACGAACTAGAACAACTACGAGATAAGGCCAGGAGCGTGAATGGCTTATCAACAATGGACAATGCACCTACCCCCGCCCCCGCCCGTCCTCCCCCAAGCTCAGCTGATCTGGCAGTCGTCGACCCGCGTGCGGGCTAAAAATAGTTTATTAATACCCTGAAGAAGCGGAACGTTGTTTAGAGTTCCGCGAAACGTCGGACCTTGATGCTGTGGACGATTTTGTGTTGTATATATGTGTGTTTATGTGTGTTTTGACGAGTCCCGGACATCACAAACAAAAATAAAGGTGATTGAAGCCCACAAAAATCTACGTCAATAGTAACACCTGCCTAAAAGCATGTCGTTCAAAAACACCGCCTGTACTTGGTTATCGTCATCCTTCATTCAATAGAAGATCATCGTATGAATACAAAGTTCTATTACTCGGCTGGGCTGGTTAAATTCTTTGTTCTTTGGAAGCTTAGTGGTCAGTGGTGACTCATTGGTGTTCTGCAGGGCCTGCGAGAGCCATCACGGGTCCCTGGGCTGAGCGATCCCGGGCTAGGGTTGCCATATCCCCGGATTTTCCCGGAGATTACTGGATTTTGCCGGGGGATTTCTGCAAAAGGTGAAAAATCTCCTCTTTTTTACACTCTATTAAAATACATTACATAACGGCAATTTTGGAGTAAAATAAAATGTTTGCGTTTGCATATTATCAAAATGCAATAACTGAAAAATGCAAACCTCATACTCTCTTCTAAGTTTTTTTTATTCCTTGGTTTCACTTTGGCCAGCAACGTCCTTAGTTTATCTTTATTGTCTGTTTCATTGTTCCCAGTCATTCATTCACGTCTGCCGGCCAGTCCGAAGGTATCCGTGTTCACTTCAAAAAACTAGCAGACGCAGACAGAGAGCGTTTTGTTGACTCTATTTGGTTATTCGTTATTTTTTAGTGAGATGACAAGCGATGCAATATTTTATGTTTTAGCGTACCTCGTGGTATAGACTAATAAATAAATATAAACAAAAATACGTCATTGGCCCGAATGTCTATAGGCTAATAGCGGTTACAACTGGTTTGGATGTTTTTTGACAGTTCCATTTAAATAATAATACAAACGTTTTTACTTTCAGGCTGGTGACATAATTTTGTTTTTGTTTAAGTTTATGACCCATGCACTTTCTGTTATAGTTTTGCTATAACTAGGTACCGTATAGGCTTACAATTTTGCTAGCCCGTTAATTTTTATCCACTATTATCGTGGGAGACCGCCAGCTAAAATCTCCTCTTTTTCACACATTACCATATGGCAACCCTATCCCGGGCCCCCTATTTTCCTGATTTATTGTCCAGCCGTCTATGTGCCGTTTAGTTACACATATAACAATGCATAACTAAAATGCTTGATAGTTTGATTAATTCTCTTGCTCACAGTTGCAACTTTATTCACAGTCAAGACTTGAATTAAACAATTCAAGTAAAAAATTACTTATTGAAAAGGAAAACCATACAAACATTTTGACTTTAGCAGATTACATGTATCGAAAACATTTTACATTTGATTGGGCCGGGGCCCCTTTAGAGCTTAGAGCTTTAGAGCCCTTTAGAGCCCCTTAGAGGGCTCTGCCGCCCTCTGCCCCACCCTCTAGCCAGCCCTGGGTCTGACCAGTGGTATTAACCTTTCAATAAAAAAAAAAAAATAATCATTCGATTTCCTTTATAAATCATCAAAAATTAGTTAGACTACCCATTTAAATGAATACTGTTCACTAAGGCGCTTATTAGATAAAAGTTAAGTGATTGTCATGCAAAAAATGGGGTTGAGGAAAATAAAGCACACTAAAGAGTTTGCTGTAAAAATTACAATTTCAGTATTTTTGCAAAATAAATCTATGAATCACAGATTTTGACAAGTTTACCCTGTTTGAATAGTTTAAGCCGCCATGCGTCAAGCTTTAATTACACTAAAATAATGATTCTCAGCTTTTCTCAAGATCCTTTTGTTTTGCACAGAAAGGAATATGCTACCTTGATTAAGTATCACAATTTGCATTGCTCACAAATTTGAAATTTGCATTGCAATCCTCAAAAATCGTTACACATAAAGGATACAGTTTTAGAGATTTAATGAAATTACGGCCTGCTTGCTAAAGTCCCTTTTATAGGCCTAGAAGGAATATTTTTCTAGCAACATACGTTCATTAAACTAATACATCTAAGATAACTTAACTTAATAGTGAAAGTGGAGCATCTCATCGTACCTAGAATGTATTTAATTAGGCTAAATTAAAAATGAACTGAGCATTATAAAGATTTGTTTCCTCGTTTAAAAATTGTAACATTTGCCCAACTAGAAACAGAAATCACTCTGTAAGTTATATTAGCATTGACTATGAGCATCTAGGCCATGATATTAGGCTCAGTTTGTTATCATGAGTGAAACTGAGTTTTAAAAACAAAATTTGCAATGTAAGGGTCCAAGGGGCTAAGTCACTCATCTACCCAGCCCAAGGTGTGTGGTAGCAAGTAGTTATAGAATAAGCCAGATATCCGGGCAAAAATAAATTTTGTTTACCAGATAGCTCAGTACTTGGTCCTAGGCTAATAAGCCTCGTTAGAAACAGACCACTTGCACTACCAGTCACCACTTGTCACTGGTTTGCTATTTGACTTATACCTTATGGTAGCTATACTTCTCTGCCTGAAGATCATTGCACAGACTAGACCCTACCAAAGTTTGTGTGCATTTCAACATGATATCACATGGTCCTATTTTTCTTTGGATACTAAAATTAACTTTTAATAATAACTTAAGTGATTTTAAAGTACAAGTTACACTTGCATCAAGTTTGCTACTGTTTCACTACAAATACTAAAGAAGACAACTCTTGAAGTAAATTCACAATTCTCTACTTAAAAGACTAGTTAAGTTGTTAAGTCATTGCTGAATCAGTCGTAGTCTAATATAAACATATGTATTGGCTTTTAAATAAACTAGGACAAGTTCACTTAAAACCTTAGAGCTCTATGGGTTCAACTTTCAGATTTCTGTAGCTCAATCAGTAGCGTGGAAAGCTATACCTGTCTTGTGCTACAACCTGGGTGAGTGTAGAACTACTCTGGGCTTTTGATTGACTACAGTTGTTTGTAAGAGCGGTATACCGCTAAGTATGATCAATGGCCGAGCAGTCAGGTATAGTGTGCAACTTATAGGAGTCCAACAACTCCTCAGTCCTCACACAGTTCTCTTACACCTAACAACAAGGGACATCGTAACTAAGGCCTGTTGGCTTATCCCCACTGATGACATGGTAATGCTTTGAAACACTAGAAGCACAATAGAAGCATTTCTCTCTACTCACTACTACTTCTAGTCACCTAGTGTGACTGCAACGAAGAAATTATTTGCGAGTGCTAGTAGTAGCTGCTACTAGTAGCGTCGATCAAAGTTGCTACGTGTGAATTGGCCTATGGTGGACAGCTTGGGCTGAAGTAACCAGTTTGGTGGATTCTTTGAGTTACTCCTCAAATGAGGCAGCTTGCTTATCCTGACTGTGTGGGCGTGTACTAAAACCGTGTTTTAAAAGAATTACGGAGAGTAAATATAAATATGTCTAATAACACTTGAAACATATATTAACACTTATACTGTTTTAAACAAGACAGTGAATATATATATAAAATTGTAGTGGTGATCCATTTATATTTGACACTCCAATCATCATCAGTCTCAATAGGGGACATTCGCTTAGGAGTGTTCAATCAAAATCAATCATGATTACCATTTTTATATAATATTTACAATCTTGTTTAAAACAGTATATGCACGGCCACCTTTAAGTCCAGGCTGCGGCCTGGTAGAATTGACAACTTTGCAAGTAGTTGTCTAGCGCCAGACGTCCCATAAGGTAACATGGCAGACAGGTGACACGAGCTCATTAATTCGCGTATTATTCATTTAAATTTAAATTAATGAACATAAATTTGTTAAAAGATTACAAATAAAACATATATAATTGAAAACCAAAACAATCATATACATTAAAAACATTTGGTTTTTCTTTTCCGAGTTCATTTGGCTGATTTACCCATCTGATTTTCATGATTGAGGTCTCAAATTTGTCATCAAGCATTGGCATATATTTATCTATAGGCCCCTAATCCCACTCGGCTTATATGTAAACGAAATTTGCTCCTCATGTATTTCTTATGGGAGTTAAATTTGGTTTCATTTTTCCGAGTTTGTTTGGCTCTTCTGCCCGACCGATTTTCGTGATTGAGGTCTCAAATTGGAGGCATGCAAGCAAAGCTTTCTCATCATGCATCGCCATATATTTACCTACTGTATTGCTCAACAAAAAACATAATTTGATTAATTTTCAAATTCTTACTTCAATTAAGAACCTTCAGTGAAACACCAGCTTTCATTTAAGCTATTAATTATTCAAATTGGACGATTTCTAAGCTAACCCAAGGTGAACAACCAACACAAAAATTATTTTGATAAGGTTTTTCTATGATTAAAAATCAATAGCTCAGGTATTGTTCTTTTTTTAAATATGTTTTATACTCAAAATAATCAGTAAATTATAGGCTCTAATTTGAGCTATTGATGTACTGTAATACACAATCGAAAATCATAAATTTGATTATTTCTCGGATAGTATATTTATTTTAAAGCTGCGGAGCAGCGTGGGTCCTCTAGTATTTAAATTGAAAATCTATTTTTGACTTTTGTACATTTAAAGTGGAGTCAATACTTTCATAGCCCAGTAACCAAGCTTTTGTATTCTTAAAAAATACACAAATACCATTAGCTGCCTCCAAAAAAACAGTGTCACAACCCTACTTGTCACTTCGAAGGCTGCGGCCTGGAGTTAAGTGTAAATATATGTTTTAAGTGTTGTTAGACATATTTTTATTTACTATCCGTAAAATTAATAACACATATATTATGCTGATTAAGAAATTATTAAGATAATTTAAATTTGATCTTATGTGAGAGGAAAAATGATATATAACACACATTATTAAACTACCAAATGATCTCTGGAGTTCACAAACAGTTAAAACCACAGTCCATTAAAAAATAAGGTCAGTAGTGTCCACTTTTGGTGATTCTGAAAAAAAGAACCGGTTTCATTTAAAAAAAAGTAATTTTGGCCTATACTCCTTTTCCTTAAAAGTATTTCTAATGTCGACTGAAGTGAATTTAAGTTAAGAAACAGCACACCATATTCCAGCTGAATAGTGGTGTTATTTATATTAGACTACGACTAATCAACATAGTAAAATCAACCCTGATCTATTAACACAGCATAGTGCAGTAATAGTTGAAAACAAAAAGTATCACAAAACCTTACTCAACTACCATTACATTTTAGGATACTTTGGCATACAGTATACTTATTCTTTGGTGATAGATGTCTTATAGTGAGGTAAAAAAGTATATTCTAAATTATTTTGTTATTTATTCCCTAAGTAAAATACTAGACTACATTAGCTTTTAGTTTGGTAATCAGATAAAATTGTGATACCAACATAACAAAAGACAATGAATGAATTTGATTTATCTAGCACTAAAAATCCTAATTTAAACAGTGTTGTTTTGTTACTGAAACGAGAATATTGAATCTAGGTGTATCCATCCCTATCTAATGTCCAAGAAAGTGATAACACACTGTAAAGAGTCAAAATACCGTACAATGCACTAGAAAAAGTATCAAACAGGAGGTGGCTTTCAAGACTGTTAGAGCCCGAATAACAATTGTCTAATAGTACTAAACACAATTGAGGACTTACACATTACACATTACTATTACACTTTTAGGACAATCTCAATTACATCTATCTTAATGAACACATAAGTTACAAGTATTCTAAAGCTTGGATCACAATTTTTGGCTTAGTTGGACATCCAAAAATCCATATTTGGCAACCATCTTTAAAAGGTATATTAATTGTCAATAGAGATGACACACATAAGACAGATAAATTTGTTTACTTTAGGTAGTATGTAAAGTCGTCAAGTAGAATTTATTTATTTTTCCTACAGTCACCCGACAAAGTTGGCTTCCTTGTACTGTATATAGTACAGAAGGCTGCTAATTGCTGCATATTTATACTTTGTCGTACGGTTTATACTTTGGCGCACATCAGGATTCCAACGAAACAACACAAAACAGCGTGGCTCTATAATACACGTAATCCGTGTACGATTGGAAATAGGTTGGCAACACTTAAAGATAATAATACTATGAGCAGCTGATTAACTATTATAACTACGATTTAACCTGTCATTTCGTGTTTATAGTTTCGGTATTTCTGAACTTTCTGGACTTTTCTTCTAAACGTTTTTAAAACATTCCTACGATCTTAATAAACAAGAAAATACCTTTATAGAATTTTCTTAGGAGCGGAAACCACTTCAAATTACAAAAACATACGGAACTATTTTCTCAAGTCGCGGAGCACATTGCTTGCCGAGGAAAAAATAGCGGAGTGATACGGACCGTTGACTACTTTCTCTAGGGCACCTATTTGTGTTGCCAGCTGAACCTAAAAACGTTTTGTATAGTGTTTGGAAGACTAATTATTTATATGCTTTATAGTGGCTGTAGGAAAAATATAATGTGTAACACGAGTGCAAAAGGCCTTTGCTGCACTCGAGATCATTCCACACTCGCCTGCGGCTCGTGTGGAAACATTGCTCTCGTTTGCAGCAAAGTGCCACTTTGCTCACTAGTTACACAAATAACTATTAAGTTACATTTCTCTTTGTTTTTACTTAAATAAATACTTTAATGAAACAGGTGATTGAAAAAGATGAAAACCAGTGTGGTAAGTTTTCCCAAAATATACCAGAATTAATTTCAGGTAAATTACTTTTCTTCAGGTAATTTTTCTCTCGAGCAGAAATTTTTTTCCAATCTCCGCAGGTTCAACCCTCTTAATTTGTTTTGATCTATTTTAAGGCCGAAAAATTCCATTTCAGTACTGTAGATATTGGTTATTTTAATTTAAATTGTGAAAATAAACAGTCATTGACCGTTTATTAAGGTCAATTTGGAAAAATACAGAGGAGAAAAATAGTCTTAACTAAATAGATAACAATAATCCATGACACTGAAAAGCTTGTTACAAAAGTATGAAACTGTATAAAAGTGTATATTTAGAGATTATTGTGTATTTTAATACACAATTAGTTTGTTTCCCTACAACACCAAATCTATAGAACATATAAACCCTAAATAAAAATGTAAATCAATGGTATAACAATGCTTATTGATGATATTGGGCATCCAGGGGTCAGATCAGTTAGGTTAATGTATCCAACCGTCCCAAATAAAAAGGAGTATTTCTGAAAATACTTTTATTCAATCAAATTAGATTTTGCTATGATTTGGGTCTGGTCAGGTGGATGTCACTATGTGGCTACCCTCCTTCCAGTTGATATTCCCACTTGGTCGTTATGAAAGAAATTGCTTGGAACAAGGAAACACATACTCTTCATAGTGCCACAGTAGCAGTAATTTGAATGTGTTATTTTGCTACGAGTGCAATACTAACACATAGTTGCAATCGAGACAGTGGGGATTTTCTGTGCTGAAGAAGGTCGCCTGATGCTTAGAATCCCTAACAGGGAAAATCCGATCATATCTAGTCCGGTCCCTGATTGTTGTAGTAGAGGTCCTGCTATAACATAACGCATCTGGCTTGAATGAAAAATGACTAGTTTCGTTGATGACTAGTATAATATAAAACTCCCACCACTTGAGGTGTTTTAGTAACCTATAGATTAATTAACTACAATTAGACAACGGCCTATTTTATCATTATCATCCTTATACTAAAACTGATCCAGGTGATCGTATTTTATCATAGTCTACAATTTTATCGTGGTCCTACTATCTAATACTGATTCTGAATTTTCCTTACAAAAATATCACTTTTCTAATATATATATATATATATATACATTACTATTCTGTAAGTATTAAAAGTAGTTAGGCCTGAAGGAAAACAGAGACAGTCTTCTGTTAGCGTTAGATGAAGTACAATGATTTGACATCTCAATGTCCAAAGCAGTTTCAAAGTTTTCAGCCGAACAGCTGCGAGCTTGATGTTATAATGTTGATTCTAGTAGTTCATCTGTGGAGGGAGATGCAATCATATGTATGAAGTCTGGAACATAGTCTGCGTCATCTTTGAAATCTATCTCGGGTGTGTAGTTGATTCCCCCTTCCTTACCTGTCAGCCAATATGTCTCCATAACACCTTTTCCCTAAAAAATCACAAACGATTGATGTTTGAGTAAAAAACGGAGAAAAATAGTTTGACTATCTATTAAGATTAGAGATACTTTGATACCAGGGTTATACCATAGACAAAAAGAATTAAATATAGACCATCAGCCGTGCTTTGGTTACCATAGGTTCTGGCGCACACCGCTGGGAGCGCCATGTTATGGCGTATGTTATGCGCCAGAACCTATGGTAACCATGGTAACTGCAGCACGGCTGTCAGTCTATATTAAATTCTTTTTGTCTATGATTGTACACACTTAGCTACCCAGGGGCCTGTTTCATGATAAACTACAAGTTACAAGTTGTAACTTGTAATTTCCATTAGATTTGCATTGGGCGATTAGCTGATTCACTAATTGAGCGGAGCGAAGCGAAGCTCTTTGGGATCAACTTCAATGCAAACTTTCTAACACATAAACTCAATAATGGCTGAACAGGTTTAGCCATACTTACCAAGATTGTTTTGTCAAATCTTTGGATGGTTTAGACGATGCCAATTTTAATTTTTGATAATGCCAATATTTAACAGCAACTCAAAGATTTAAATTTTAACATTGGCCTTATGGGTTGCCATGATGGTTACAAAATAATAAACAAAACAAAGAATCATAGCATATGTTAAAATCAAGCCACGACCTATAAACACAGTTCAAAAGGAGAAAAAATCGTATGATGACCACTGATCAAGTAATATAGAGAAAGTTTTTAAGTTTACATTTAGTCGCAATTTGGAACGTACTACCTTAGGTACAGTATTTTACACATTTGATTTTCATAGCTAAATAAGGTTATATAAAATAACATTTAAATCTTAGGATCCATCACATAATTGGCAAACTTAAACAGGTCCACGATGTAGGAAGGGGTGAAGGAAGTGTGGGATTTCCACAGTTACAAAATAACCTGCAACAGTTAAATAATCCCTATCAATGTCAGCCCTAAATTATTGTTACCTTTATTTCCACCTCCCCTCTTGATTCTACTATAAATCCCCCAACAATGTCTAGAAGATCTTTGGTCGTTTTGGTTATATGGATTTTCATTGCTGAAACAAATTGAAGAAAGGAAAATAAGTTGGCTATATTGTTGTAAGACACACGATATTTGTATTTTATTCATTTATACAAGGTAATAATGTGGATTTTACTCCCTTCCCCCCCCCCCCTAGTGAAAGCAAAAATTGAAACATAGTACAGTAAACATTGTTGGTTGGTTTGAGAGCTGAAGCAAGTTTTTCATAAATAATAAAGAAACTGAGTGTGTCGGTCATCAGATTTTTAGCGTGTACATGCGTTAATGTTTTTATGTCGTGTTTTGTGATTATTTATTGCTTATAAACCGTTGACGTAATGAAAATGAAAAATCTCGTCAAACATGTAAATACAGTACTGTAATTTAGTTCACGACCATTGACTATTGGATACTGAAGTTGTATTGATAGACAAAGCCTACAACTAAACACCCGGCGATGGAGTAATCTCCGAAACGGACTAAATGCTATATCAAGAGTGCTGATCAATAATTTTATGACTATCAGGGTTCATCCATGTCCTGTCTTTTACATGCCCCCCCCCCCATACGTTACGGGACTGAAAAAGGTGCCTTGACACTGTAATTCGTGCACAATATCATTAATTTTGCTCTCTGCCTCAAAAGCGACTGAAGCATGACTGCAACTGTCCTCAATTGCATTAATGTTTATGAAATTCTTCACACTCTCTTCATCCCTTTCGTTCATTTTCTACCTCAACCACTTAAATCATTATCACTTGTGATGGACTTCAATAGCGGTTTTTGACTTAGACCATAAAAATAACAGAACACAGTTTATACCTGTAGCTTTGAACATTGATATAACTAGACATTCCTTCCCCATGTTAGACTTGTCGCCAGTTTTTAAACCAAATTCTTTGTAGTTGATGTGAGCAATAGACAGATTGTGCTGTTCCTATTAACTAATTTCTTTCGAATAGGTACACTATTTTTTTAGTAAGTTAAGCTAATGGAACGAATTATTTTGACCTGGTCAACTATGTCAGCAACAAAAAATAAGGCAGAAAATTGAATTGTAGACACTAGTGTATTCTTTGACTGGCTCACACAACTACATTCTTTTTTAGTAGAAATTGGCGACAGCTCGTCCATATAGATGTCCTCTTCTGTATCCAATAGCTGCTAGCGCTTGTAGTGAGCATCCATTTTCTTTTGTGTTTATTTTGGCTGCTCAGAGACTAATTAATGCATATGGGTTTAAACTGGCTAGTGTGCCGATTTTAAATTCAAAGATTTAAAATCCGCGACAGTCAATGGACAAGTCAGTCCAACATGACGTAACGCGGAAGGATACGAAGACCGTTGGGAACCGCGTCGTCTGCAAAGCGTCTCGTCGTCTCGTCGTCTCGTCACTCGTGGCTCAGTACTCGCGTAGTCAACATGTGAAGTCGCGTTTTGTCGCTGGTGTAGGACGAATTTATTAATATCTTAATTCGTAGCTCGGAAATTAGCGTTCGGGCGGAAATTGTACGTGCATCAAACGATCGCAATTGTCAAAATTTCGCCGAATTGCATTTGGGGGTGTGTTTTATTAGTATTAAGTCGAGACAGTTGAGATGCCGGATTGATTGTTCGCGTTCGTGATGAAAATTCGTACATGCATCATATCGATAGCAAATGTCAGTTTCTAGCGAATCGCGGGTCGTCGTGACGGTATTTTCAATTGAATCATTAAACGCCAGCTCGAAAAAACAAGAATTAATAAGTCCTACACCAGAAAAAACCGTGTCGTGATATTCCGCTCGGTCAGACAAATAGTCACAAAACGTCAGTTTTAAATCAGTCAGTTTTAAATGTTCGGTACGCGTGAATCTTCGTCGGAATGAATGTTAATGTGTCGACATGTGTACGTAAGTAAATGTTTGTGTTATTTGTGTTTTAGTATTAAAATAGTCTTGCCAATCTGCCACATTTTTTCACATGTACCACTCGTTTTACAAGTTATGAATCATGTTTTGTTTGGTCTGAGATTTTCGTGTTTCATTTGGTCTACTTAGAGCACATGGTCACGATTCAGAATAAAATGTTTTATTAAATTTGGTCATGTCATACAAAGAATTTAAGTTATAATAGTGAACCTAGTCAAATGAAAATTATTTATTAAATTGAATTGAAATGGTATATTAATTTAAAGAGCAATGTTTATCTGTGATATTATTATTTTTGTATTCTATGTACAGTCAGATTCTATCATCATCAGTATTATTATTTAAAACGTTTGTATTTCATGTGTAGAATAATTTTTGAACAGTATTACATTTTTTAATAGTGAGAGTTTGATTGTGTAACGTAAATGGGGGTAACAGAGTGCTCGGTCGAAGGCTAGGGTTGATAAAGGGTCATAAGGATAGACTCCCATTAAATTCATAAATATTAAATACTAAATAAAAATTATCAAATAATCGACTCAGCAGTCGATTGGCCCCGTTGCACTGATCAGCAAGGAGTGATGTAGATCACAAACCTATATAATAGTCCCTGTTTGATTAAATTGTAAACTGGCCAGTTTGATAATTACGAACATCTTTGGGGAGTCTGGTGATCCAAAACAAATAAATAAAATCATCAAGGCTAGGTTTTCCCGAGACTTTGCAGTTTTAAAAAATGAACAAACCGCCAATTTGAACATTCAATCTTACAATCAACTCTCTCACTCTCTCTTTCAAAATATTGTTAAATTGTGTACAAAAAAGGTTATCACATTGTATAAATTTTATTAATTATTGTATCACAGCTCATTTGCAATTATCATCTCATTATACAGTATTTTTACAAATCACCATCTTTTCATTATCCTGTGTTTCAGCTGTTAGTATCATTAGTATAAAACTGGTAAAGTAAAAAGGTAAATGGCTTAACTGGAAGAGGTATACAAAGTATTCACAATGAGTGTTGATGATCACATTTTGTAAATATATTTTGACAGTACAATTTTTATAGGTTCAGTTCATAATATTTAATATCAGGTTGTGAATTTATGAGTAATCGGCTTAACCGAATCCATATATATAAACATCTTGAAGTCATACCTTTGATAAATATTTCCTGAACAAACAGTTTCATAAATATTTTCAATCAATATTTCAATATTATTATGTGCAATTTTACAGTTTTACAGAGTGTCAATTCACGTCACAATCTTTCATCAGAGTAGCACATTTCAATTCATGGAGTGTTCAAATAAACACATCTATTAGTTTTAAGAAGTGTTAGAATTAAGCTGAAGAAGGTGTGAAGGAGGACAACATATCAGACCTCTCACGGTCCATAAATCGGACTTCTGGGATATTTAATTACAGGGCCTACACTTAACATCTTTATTTCCACTGCGCAGCTCTGTGATTGTAATGTCCTCAGTAGTTCAATTAAAAGTGTAAATTAAATTCATTAAAACCCCACCAGGGGGCAACTTTTTGTTATACTCACACCTGTATGGAATAGCCAAATTGCATTACATAAAGGTGTGAGGTGATTTTGCTTGATGGAATGATCAATTAAGTAAAGAGTATATTTTGAATATAAGTGAAGAATTTTTTTTTTTTTTTATTTACTCTAGTTTAGGGATGAAGTACGGTAAACAACATGGCGCTGTTTTCAGATTTGTGCTAACTTGATGGATTGCGACAGGAGCTCAATGGAGACCTTATACTGACAATAACTATACAATGGAGACCTAGTACAATACTTTCTTTAGTATCGTTATCAACAGCTGGCATCATTATTATGGAAAGACTAGAGATCAATGACGGTTATGCCCAGGATAAGAGATGCTTGGGTTTGAAATAAATTTTCCTTTTAGATCATGTCCAAAAAGGTGGTGAGGAGTAAGGGGCATAAATTACTGTATGACAGCACACAGTTGGTTGCTTAATTAAACACTACACAGTCTAAAATACTTTGGCAGGTTTAATATGACTATGGGGCGCCTTCTTCAATGTCAAAGCTACCTTCCCCAGTAGACTCCATGCGAGCCGCAGTGTTAACGGTGTCCCCGAAGAGACAGTATCGTGGCATTGTAGTCCCCACGACTCCAGCCACACAAGGCCCCGTGTTGATGCCTACACGCACTTGCAGACTCTCCGACGGTCTGTGGGGAATACGGTAACTCTCCAAGCTATGCACCAGGTCTAATGCCATCGTGGATATCTCTGCTGCATGTACAATGCCTGTAAACATACAATGTGTAAGTCAGTTGGTCAATTTACTGTTGGTAAAAGGTTAAGTAGTAAGATCCACTTAGAACAAGCTGTGCCTTTCAGTTGGTTATGAGAACATTAGAGCTGTTCTATATAGAATATTCTATATATCGTTCTATATAGAACTTGGTCTTCCAGTGCCTTAAGGCAGGTAGCAGAGGTCAACATTTTTGCCATTCATTACTATATTTAACAAAAAAAGTAAGTTTATAAAAGTTGTTAGTGTAATTGACAGAAATTAGTAATTTCAATCAGCACAATCTGACGGTGGCTCACATGAACTACGATGATTTTGATTACAAAACTGGCGACAACTGAAACATGGGGATGGAATGTCTAGTTGTATAAATAGTCAAAGGTAATAGTAATACAGTAGAAGTAAATTCTCCTTTGGCCATCTGCAGCGAGGCTGAAATATCAGTCCAAGTTAACTGTTATATGGCACGGTTTTACCATGAAGGTCATGAATTTGTTTGGTTTTAATATGACTGTATGGAAACTATAGTCCTAGTGATAATATGGACAATCTATGGTCAGCACTCACCATTTTCCTGGGGCAATCCTGAAACAACCATATAAGAATCTCCGATAGTTTCCACCTTGTAAACATCATATTTCTGAATACGTGAGTCAAACAGTCTGTATAGGCAGTTTAACATGGTGACTACTTGCATAGGTGTGCTTGTAGCTGATAGCTCTGTGAATCCTACAATGTCACAGAAGAAAACTGTCACGTTCTCAAAGTCTTCAGCTACCACCTGCATCATACAAGTGAGATAAGACCTATGTTAGCGAATTTCCCATATAGGGAATAAGCTATTACCGTAGTACTCATGGTAATACCTGGGACCAATTTACTTTTTTTGTTTTGAGGTCCCTAGAGGCCAAAAACACCATCCGTTCAAATTCATATATATATATATTTATACATGTGTCCGTTAGCTCGATAACTCGAGCAAAAATCATCCGATTTTGATGAAATTTGGTGCAAACGTGTAAACCTACGTTTATTCGAACGAGTCCGCGAACCAGCATTATTGGACTATGGGAACAGAGGTTTATGGTGGGTTTTATGGGGTAAAAATTGTTTTTTTTTATTTTTGACCCTAAAAACATCAGCAACTTCTTTCCAAACCATTTTGTAGAGCTTAAAAAACAAATAATTTAGTATATTAAAGCGTTATTATGCGCCTAATGGTTACGGAGAAAATTAAAAAAAATTGTTAATTTAAAATTCCCATGTCATTCTTATGGAGAAAATTGTTAACTCTTGTAGTTTGCTTGTTCATGTTTGATCAAATTTGGAAAATGCATTCATTTTATACTAAACTAAACTAACATTTTACAAAAAACACCTTTTACCCTCCCTGTTACATCAAACCTAAGTACTCGTTAAACTGATGCTATTTAAATCTTACTAATATTATATAGGGAATAAATGTGATATTTTTAAGGAGACATTTTAGTGTAAATCCAATCAGGCAAATGGAAATTCACTTAGACTGCAGGTTTGCCGCGGGGTATTTTTGTATACTATAATGATGATGAAGTTCTTTACTTGCATCACGTATTGGTGCTATTAGACCCACTCATGGGCACCCACAGCCACAGGAATTTACTTCAGGGGGGCAAACCAGTACCAGTATTTTGTTCCTTTCAGGGGTCAGAGAAAAAGACTATTCTTCTCAAACGGCCTACCCACCTGAAAACCTGGTTTGCCGGTCTTGGTCGGTACAAAAAGATGGCCAAATATTATGATTCAAGACATACATTTTTTGTTCATACCTTAAAATACCCCCGCCGCAACAAACCTGCAGACTTAGCGAATTTCCATTGCCTGATTGGATTTACACTAAAATGTCCCCTTAATATCACATTTATTCCCTATTTAAATAGAACGAGTTTAACGAGTACTTAGGTTTGCTGCAACAGGGAGGGTAAAAAAGTGTTTATTGTTGTAAAATGTTAATATTGTAGTTTAGCAATAAATAAATGTATTTTCCAAATTTGATCAAAATATGTTCATAAACAAGCAAACTACAACAGTTTACTTATTCTCCATAAGAATAACATGGGAATTTTTAATTTACAATTTTTTGGAATTTTTTCTGTATAGGCGCATAATAACGCTTCAATATACTTTTATTTGTTTTTTAAGCTCTACAAAAAGGTTTGGAAAGAAATTGTAAAATTTTGTGTTTTTGGGTCAAAAATGGGAAAAACCTATTTTTACCCCATAAAACCCCCCATAAACCCCCATTCCCATAATATGATCATGCTGGTTCGCAACCTCGTTCGAATAAACGTAGGTTTACACTTTTGTACCAAATTTCATCAAAATCAGATAATTTTTGCTCGAGTTATCGTGCTAACGGACACATATATATATGAATTTTAACGGTTGGTGTTTTTGGCCTCAGGGGACCTCAAAATGAAAAAGTAAATTGGTCCCGGGTCCAGGTCTTACCATGAGTACTACGGTAATAGCTTATTCCCTATATGGGAAATTCGCTAAAAGGAGAACATGTTATTTTTCAATTTACCTTTTAACAAACTTACTGTTTTTTTCAGAGTCAAGTACTATGGTTTTAGAAAAATTTACTCCTAAGTATTTAATTTTTTCATTAAAAGTTATAGATTTTTACTGTCTTGCTAACATTAAAAGTATTAGTGGTAGGCTACATCTAGAAAAGCTTGAATGACTTGAAGTCTTTTATTTTATCATTATAAATCCTTTAATGAGATATGGAATTTATAGAGTTAGTATCAGAGGAACAATAAAAGTTAATGTTCCTCTACTTATAAAGTAATCAAAGGGAATAAATCTTAGTGTGTATATTGGCAAAGCCTCTCGCTAGAAATGTCATTGTGAGTTACCACAATTGGCGTAAAGGTTTGCAAACAGGTTGAGGAAATTCTATATTTGGGAAATGGGATCTACTGTAAAACTTGTAATGTGAAGCTGTTTACTTATTTATTATTATTATTATTAGATTTCAAAAGGTTTTTATTTGTTTGAAATTCAATGACATTATTTGTCATTCAAATAATCAACTGTTATGGAGGTACATGTTGATGTGCTATTACTGTTAATGTAATTATGGAGATCAGCTCCTTGTCAAGTAGGGATCCTGGTTCATTGGCATGATTATTACTTGTACCAATCAGCCAATAACTATTGAACTTGCATATCTTAGGACTATTTATACTAGCCTACTAAGTAATTCTTGATGCAGATGCAGACAATTCTACCACTGTACCGGTATTGGAATGCTCAATTTGTAAAAAAATTGGTTGCCTGAACTGTAGTACAATAGTTAATAGTAAGTAGTTAATTAATAGCCAATACAGCCAGTGGCAACTGAATATTTGGTCAAGCTAAGACTATGCTTCAACACTATGATCAACTATGATCAAACAATGTTTTTCAGGATTAGTCAAAATCCTATTACAGTAATCACAGATTGAATCCTCTAGTTCCTTACTAATTAGCTCATTAGTATATACAGTAGCCTATAATAATCAGGTCAATGTAACAGGGAGGAACAAAACAATTAGGCAAAATTATTTACCTTTATCTTACTTACTTGTCTCTGCAGTTTCAACTGTGCGATGACTGTGGACGGCAGCATCTGGTTGAGAAGACAGTCACTTTTGCGTTTCTCTGCCCTTAGTTGCACAGTTTTGCGCCAGATCATGTTAGCGTACTCCTGCACTGTGTTGCTGGTCTCACACATGAGACAGACTGTCAGTGCAGACACTAAGACAGTTCCCACCATCACTCCAGCATTTAGCACTTGATGGTTGATGCTCTCAACATAGGCTAGGGACACCTGCTCACTGTCAACATGGCATATTCCTGATAAAAGTTTAAAGCTTTTTGACAGATCAAAATGTTATCTGGCTGGGTGCTGAGAGGTTACGCTAGCCTGAAAATCACAAGTTTGCTGGTTCAATCCTGAGAGGAGTCAGTATATTATGATGGTTCGAAACTGGACCCAGCTGTTCTTGGGCTTTAAATAAATGGTACTGACTAATGAAACAGCTGATCATAGTCAGTAAAAAGCTACCCAGATCATCTCCCTCCATTCTACACTCATCCACTAATATTTGGGTTAAAATACACACCTGGGTGGCTTCCTCTTATCAATTTTGATAATAATAATGATTAAATAAAAATAATGACAGAATTTACTTAATTCCTTATATTTGCTTCAATATCAAAATTTAATCCCATCAAGGAAATAAAACAACTTTATTTCAGCAACAAGCAGATTCCATGTTCCTTATTTTGTTACTTCATTGTAGACTGAGATTGGATAGTGAAGACTTGAGGAGAGGGATTGTGTTGAATAACTTGTTTATGTAGGGAGGGGTGAGTGGCAACCTTGCTCTATCAGCCAATAAATCTCATATAACATGGTTTTATCATTAACTTTGTGTGCTTCAAGTAAATTTCTCATCCTCTCCTATTGCAAAATATAAACAGCTTTTTTTATATGAGTTTCATGTTTGATTAGTTTCAGTGCTATTTTGAATAATAGTTTCACGTTATTTAAATCACAATCTACCCAAAATTTAAAAGAGGTTGGCTGCTACAAACTTGAATTTGCTTTCCACATACAGGTAGACCTCAAAAGCATGTTTGTGGATCTTATCAAGTAGAGCAAGGGGTGAACTGGTACAGTAAAATGCTGTTCTTGACACAATTTAAATAGCTGTGGTACCTTAACCAACAACATCCCTACCAAGGATTCTCCATGCGTTACACTTCGTCCGAATCAGCCACTTTCATACCATTAAGTAGTCCATATAATCTAATATATAGCTACTCCATAATGATTACAAAATCATTATAGAACATTTCAATCTATGGTTTTGCCTAACGCTAATAAAACCTTTATGGCGTTCTTACCTGATATTATTAATAACTTTATCTTGGTAATTCCTCAATATGTTGACAAACTCAGTTACTCTATCTATATATTTTATAGCTGTCATATAGTTGTTTCTTGATGTGTTCATCAAAATACTTATATCATCTTGGCGATCTAGAATGCTGCAAAACATAATTCATTAAATACCTTATATTAAAAAATGGTACTTTCTAGTTTTTGTACTGGCTTAAGAATATATAAATCACCAAAGGAATCCATCAAATTAAAGAATACTAAATCCATCAATTAATTGAATATCCTGTCTTTCTTAGAATACAACTGGATGGTATACACTTATGGTAATGAAGTTCACCTGTTTAGTCATAAGTTCATCCCATTAACCGGATGTGAATCACATCCGTCCAGGCCCGGCCTTGAGGCTGATTTGAACGTGTATGGCGAATCCCGCAGTCCAAGACAGTGCTGCTTCCCCCCTCCCACCACATTTTCAGCTTTATTGCATGTGCACGTGATTTTTTACTTCAATAAGCAAAGAATACCACAACAGGTAGGTACATGAGGGAAGCAGCTTATAAAGAATTATTAGATTTATGAACAAATCTGACACAAAAAGAACAAAGGACACTGTGGTGAAAAAATAAACAACTTACGGAGTGCATTTAGAAAAGAGTTAAAAAGTAAAATCTTCACAAAAGTGGTACTTCAGTGAGCTTAACTTCCTATTAGACCAAGAGGAGGCAAGACGACTCCTGCCAAACTGTGCAGTTCCGGACTGAGCGTGTGTGGGGAGGTCACGACTCCGGCCAAACTGTGCAGTTCCGGTCTCAAGGCTCGGCCTTCAGTCCGGGACGGAACGTGTATGGTAGGCCTAATCAATAGGTTGAAAACCTAGATCTAGTTCCTATTTTCCTTACAAAAAAGAATTAGGTTTGTCTTCAGTCTTAACATTTTCTATGTGCTATTGTTGTTAAGAGGTAAATATATTTGTTTAACAAGCGTTAACATTGCCGAATAAAATAAATGCAATAAGCAATAACATATTCAGTAATAGTTTATAAGTAACTTTTATGCCTTATAAGTGCTGATGCGGACAAGATTCCGCCATTTGAGGTACCTAATTATAAATTGCCATGTCTGAGAGTTAAACATATTGACAATATCTTTTTGAAAACACTATTTTAAATACTGGCTATGTATTACTACAAGTAATATTCTGAAAATTACAAAAACATTGCAAGAGGAAGGAATTGTGTTTAATAAAATTTTTGTGAATTCTTTGCCACAAAGTTGGTCACCGTTTGGATCCCCAATAAAATTATTTAGAGTTCAGTGAAATGGTATTTATTTTGCTTACTATAACATCAAAAAATGTTTGGTGTAGATATTTAAATTACATCAAACTCCTGATTGTGGATCAAAGCCCAAACCAAATTGGTTGTAGCGGGAAACAGTGTGTGAAATTTAATCAATCCATTTTGTGTAGCAAACAAAGGATAGTAACTGAAGCAATGAATGAGATGCACACTGCACATACACTGTTTGATTGCTTGTCCAAAGATTCATTGTTAAAATCATCAGACCATAAAGTATGCCTGATTAAAAAAGATAATGTTTTGAATCATAAATTTGGAAGTTATGATAACTTACATCTTACTGATTTATACTTTTCTTTTTGTACAGGTGAAAATTTTCTGACACTTACTAACTTCTCAAGGTTTTTAAGATCTCTATATTTCTTACTCTGAGAAATATAGCTATTTGAAAGTAGAATTTTTGTTTAGTTAAAATATATTTCAAGATAATCTATTTCAAAAAGAATCAAAACAAATAAAACTTAAAGAATTAACATTGAAACGTAGAACATTGAAAACACAAACCAATGCAAACCTCAGCAGAAACAAATTGTCCAGAGACAGTTGGTAGAAGTCAGATTCCATCTGAGAGAACTGATTGGCTGATAGAAGATAGTGCTTGACCATGTTGCCATAGTTGTGTTCGAGGCTACAGAGTGAGTGTGGACCCAGCACGAGGCTAGTGACTTCGTGCACCGCAGATTTGAGTAGTTCTTCTCCAGCCATTACGAGATTTTCGTATGTTTTAGCATACCTGTGAATGAAATCGAGGTGAGACAATGAGTTCGTACTCAGTTGATAGTTAATGAGGAGGGATTTAAAATGAAATGTTTATGGGTGAGAAATAGGAATTTTGAGGAGAGGAATGTGCAATGTTAGACAGGAAGAAAAGGAAAAGGTTCAAATAAAGATAGAGCAAAGATATTAGGTGGAAAATGAAGATATTAATGGAGTAATCAAGATGTAAAGGGATGGTCTGAAGTTAAAAAAAAAAAAATAAAATAAAAAATAGGAGATGTGAAGAAGAAGAAAATAAGATATAATGGCTGAAAGAAGGTTTGATGGGAGAAATCCAACACTTAATAGAGAAGAAGAGAAGGTTTGAAAAGAAAAAAAAACTGATCCAGTTGTGGTGTACAATCCTTGATCCTTTCAAATAATATTTATTTTATCCTGACCCTTTTCTTACGTTTTATAGGGTCAGTATAATAGTTAAGATAGGAGATAATTTTGCATGCTATTTATATTAACAAACTATTACTACATTTTTGGCAAAAGGAAAAAACATCATTGTAAAATGTTTTGGTAAAATATGGTTATCTGAATAATGGTTGAACAATAAATATGTTACTAGCTTTTTAACAATATAATTTAGATACTACGTCTTAATTCATTTCTGTAGGCCCTACTAATTACAAATTTTAAAATCAATTAACACAATACAGGGACTTTGTGTTCATCACTCAATATGATGAATTTTACTTGTGTTTATACACTAATAGTCAATGCTATAAGTTTCGCAATGAAACTTCGTCTCATGTTTTAAACACCAGTGTTGTTATTTGTAACCACCAACAAAGCTTTTCCACATGTGATTAAGTTGAAAGCGTAGTTCAGAAATTGGTTATGGGCGCTTCTTGGAAATAATGTAACTGAACAAAACTCCAACTTTGAAATGTTATGAATCATCACCTAAAGTATAAAGTAGCTACTTAGAACTCCTTTAGGACAATGAGTGTGGATTGCTTAATGGCTTCAAAACTGTCAACCCAAACACTTAATATATATTTTTTAAATCGCTAAACAAGAACAGGTTTTATTTTAAATGTATTTTTATACACTTCAATCTTTCAATATAATGGCTGCAATCAATTAATACAAAACTGTTCCGATATGATTTAATATACATGTTCTATACTGTATAGAGTTTGTTTACTATATGATTCCTCCTAGCCCAGGGTCAACGCAACCTAACAATGTTGTTGTGTTAGACCTTGTTTACTTGTTGTTAGGGCCTTTAATCAAGTAATGAACTGTGTTACACTATGTCATCTTTAAGAGCTACAGTCATCAGTCATAACACATGATTGAATTAGAACAGAGGAAAATTGTGTTATAGAGTAACTAGATGCAACACTTTTACGATTCATCAATACGGCCGGTTTACAAAATCAGGAGTTAAAAAGATATAGTAAACAAATATAGAAAAAATATAAAATAATATTAATATACCAGAATATAATTTAGCTGTATGTAAAAAAATCACAACTACCACATTTTTGTTACTAAACTGTACTGAAATAATGTCGTGTAATAAAATACTAAACACATACTTTCATTAATTAATTGCTTATCTAGTTAAATTATAAGACTAATTATTAAGCCAACAATTAGCTTTTTATACAATCTATAAAACCACGTCCAGAGAGTAAAAGTTTCAATTCAATACCAAATAATATGTTTACGTTTTCACCGAAAACTAGTTCTATTTTCCAGATACCGTATCAAAGTTCTATTGACTTCATAAATATAAAGATCCATAAAAATTAATATATTGAAGGACTTTACGATAGTAATATAAGGAATTCTTGAATGACTCAACACAATAGAAATGAGAATAGAACGCTTCAACACGCCTTTGTAGCCATTACAGTTTGAAGACAAAAATCAATAACTTTTCCTGATAATGATGAAGGCCTATTGTTTCAGGAATTTGCAATTTCCCAGGCGTATTTTAATTACGAAGGATAACAAGAGTATTATACACCTCTTGTGTCACTTCATCGTACAATGAACCATCAGAGCTTTTGAAGTCACAAGTCAACAAGGCCTCTCCGTCCACTCTAAGCCAAAATTAATGAACCCTGTCTTCTTTTACTCCTCATTTTATGAGCGCCTAGGTGACGGGTAGCCTGAAGAGGCTTAAAAAGTATTGGAAGTTTAAAAACTTTAAATGAACAAGTTGAAATTCAATAACTTTTGTTAGTGAAATGTACTCCTGGTTCCAACAAAATACAGGACCAATTGTGCTTGGGGCATTTATTATAAGCTACTTACAGCCAAAAAGAGGTAGAATCTGAAATGCTTCTTGTATCTGTAGAAATCTGACTCAGGATTTCTCGAATAACAGAGTTGATGATTTCGATTTCCTTAACTTCTGTGCAGTTGATAAATTCTCTGAAAGAAGAAGAGTTTGGTTAATTTCGTAAAAAGTTTAGGTGAAGACCAAATTTTTTTTCGGGATTAAGATAATTGTATACATAATAACATTATGTTAGGGTTTAATTGTGATGGACAATTTTATTGAATACTTGGTGAATAGTGAAGGTTAAAGTTTCAGCAGCTGAGTCGTTCCTTACTGAATAAGTCATGCCAACGTGTTACATTATGAAGAGTTGGATCTGAGGAGATTGAAAATTTACATTCCATCGGTTTGATCAATGCGTTGGAGTTGATTGAAATAGTTTTTATTACTTACTCTATGTTCTTCCTTTCAAGTTAAAGTTTAAACCCATCTCGCTGCATCTCACAATATTTTAATGGGGATTTATAGACTATGGCGAGGAATAAAAAAAACTGCATTTAAGAAAAAAAAAACTGTAAGCAATTAAAAATGAATCGAACTCATTTACTAAACCTACATATATTGTTGGTTTGAAGTCATAAGTTGATCAACAAAAACTAGGATTACCTAACTGTATTTCAGGTATTTTTACAGATATTTTTATTCTTTGAAACACCACCATTACGGTCCCTAGAGATTAATTTATCAGCCTTTTTTAACTCAATTAAAAAGAAGAAAAAACTTGACAACTTTTAAAATGATCAAAAAAGCTTTTTAAAATATCATTGATGCGAAAATCGTTAACGAATAAACATTAATCCCTACTCAAATTTTTACTGCAATACTATAATGTTTAATTTCTAGTTGCTCTAACCCTGTTTTAGTTTAATTGTCTACTTTATCTACTGTACCACCGTATCTATGTTTGTAAACACAAATATTAAGCCGTTCCGGGACTTTTTTAACACACTGTAAACAAATGAGGTGTGTAAAGAACAACTGTATGCAACAGGAAGTTATGTAATGAAATTGGCTGGCTACTAATAATTTACACGGTCATTGTATGGCATGTCAGATAGGTCAATAATGACTAATGTAACATGTGATAGGTACACGACAATCCATTCAGCATTGGGAACAAAGCCAGTTGGCCTATACATACATATAATGGCCAAGGTTATGAGGAGGGATGGGGCAGCCACAGTGATGTAAATATGGCGTCATAATAAACGTAATTATGTAAGATTGATTAAGGCATAAAATACACATTGGGTTTTCGGTTAGCTGGATTTAAAAAGTCTTTACTTGGATTGTGTTAGATCTACTTGTCCAAAGAGAAAAAAAAACGTAAATTAAAAAAAGTTAACCTCTTAAATTACACCGTATACGTATTATTTATCAAGCTCGTTCCAAAATATGACCAATTTACATTAACTGAGAAATTAACTCGTAAACTGTTATGATTTACAAACAAATTAAATGCATAGAAAAAAATATGCTGTCAAATCTAGGCCTAATAGTCAATTAGGCATAGTTAAGGGATTATAGAGTTACATGAAAATATCGTGAACACAATAAAGAAGGAAAATTAAAGTTGCTTAATTTAACTTCCCTGACACATGAAGATTACTCGGAGATCAAGGCTTGAGCGTCGTCTTCCAAGTCTCTAATCAGTCAACACCTTTGTATATCAAAGGCTAGAGTTTCAGGAGACCTTTGACATTGTGACATGCTCGAGAAAATTTAAAATATAATCAATGTGACAAAATATATTTTTAGAAAATAACTAGTAGTTAATAAATGAATTTAAAAGGTACAAAACTCTAATTAGGAGTATAAGTTGCTTGAATACTTACGTTATGTTTATCGTTATGGCTGAAAATCTCGAAGATTTTATTATGTTTGAAACTGCTGGGGAGAATGTAGCAGATATCGCAGGATTCCCGAACGAACTGAAACAATGAATAATATTTTAACATTTTGGCTGTAGTTCCTACTATTTTTTAGATTGAGATGTTTCAACATTCTTGTTCTCGTTCAACAATTTCTTGGAATATAATACTTAATATATACATATTGATACTCTTTTTCTCGTCCTTTAAAAAAATAGAGAGGGTTATATTATAAACGAAAAGCAAAATATGTTTCGTAAAGCCTGTTGGATCTGAGGCTCATAAAATTTATTTATTTAATATTTAAACTATATTCAAATAAAAAATAAATTACAATATCATCAATAATTGAGTTGAGCTCATAAATGGATGTAAAATACTCCTAAGGCTGTCAACAGAAACCAAAATCAATGTATACCATAATAAGCATCTCAGTACTACTGTATGGTTCAGAAACGTGTGTGGGTTGACAAGGAAATCACAGAAAGATCTTATTAAGTTTGAGAATAGTGTGTTGAAAAAAAAGGACTGGTACAAGATACAAAAGAACAGAGAGCTAAGAAAAATATATAAAATACCTAATTATTGTGACGCTGGCTAAAAATAAAAGGCTAACATGGGAAGGCCAAGTGTATGGGAGAAAAGATACTTCAATTGTTAAAATTATACCAGATCGAAACTGAGGTGGAAAGACTGATGAAAAGAATATCTAGACTGCGGTATACATTAGAAGTGGCGTGGGATTAAAGAAAGTAGAGGGGACTATGTGTATAGGGATGTTTTTGTCTGTAGCTCTTGAAAAATGTGAACTTAATATGTAAACCAGCTTTTCTGAATTAAATACTGTTTTAATTAATCATTTTATCCGGACGGACTAGTTATACTTATTTGTGGTTAATAAATAGAAAAATCCAAACGCGAAGATCATTTATAGTTTTAGAGAAAACTAAGATTTGTCTAAGGTCTAGAGTATTTTGTTCAATATTCGGATTTAGACAAGTTTTGTAGTAGGCTAATTTAAACTGTTCAATTTTCAAAATTAAAAATGATAAAATTTGGAGAATGAAAACACAGGATAAACCGAATATTTATGTATTGCTTCTTCACACACAACACAAGTAAAATATTTGCTAGTTAAGTATATAAAGCATACATAAACTGAAGCAAGATCTTCTGAAAAATCGACCCTTGCCCCAACACTTGCTCGGTTCACAAAGTTTATTGCCGCGTTGACGCTTACTCAGCCAAGATTCAAAGCTTTCACGATCCATCCAACCCATTCTTGTGACTCTATTTTTCATCTTTGTATCTTCCTTGCTTCAACGAGCATAAGCCTTTTATGATAGTTGTGTTATGGTTTGTATAAACTTAAAAATAATCTGTTAGCCTTAGAAAAACTTGGGGGAATAAGTAAATCCATTTTTAACAATTTGATAAAATAACACCAATTAGTAAAATTCCAATAAAATAAAAATATGAATGTGATGTCCAATAAAATAAAATAAAAATATGAATATTGTAAAATTACCTTTAAATGTTTACCATACTAGATAGTGCTTACAAACTATGTTTTTCTCGTTCGAAGATTGTTTTGCTTTTCAGTTCGAGCCCCTAAAACTACCTTTAATGTATCTTAAGTTCCTTGTAATTAACGTTAATTTTGGAACAATATTTTAAGAATCCTTCTTATTATAACCTTGTCATAAGAGCAACTGACGCCGTACCCACAAGTCTCAATGGGAAGAAAATGTGCAGAATAAATTGGAATCTTAGTTCTTGAAGTATATGATAATATAGTTGGTGCGCATAATAATTTATTATTTTGTGGACCCAGTTAAAAAAAGTATTGATCAATACATAATATTATGATATGGGAGATATTGACAAATTGTTTACTTGGATTTATACATAAATTGAAAGATCTCTGATGTTAGTAAATATACTGTATATAGAAATGTAATATTTATAAAATGTTGTTTTTTTTATAAAGAAGTAAGTTATAGAACTTGAAAATTATATCAAACACATGATTTTATGTTTATATCATGAATATATTTTATTGGTACTTCTATACAATTTGGTATCTGAAATTAATTTTTGGGCATATAAGTGGCCCGAAGAAGTGCAATCTAGAAGTCCAGTTTTCGATCACTTTAACCAGTAGCTGGGGCCGTATACTGCTAATAGCACGACGGATATTTGATTACAAATCAGTCAACGTTATTAGTTTGTCGGCATAGGACTAGTTGCTTTACGTATTCCCCAAAACTGCCGGATTAGAAGTGAAGGGAAAATAGGAACATTAATTTGCTGAAAAGCCGTTGCATCCACAGAAGCTTACTGTTTGTTGTGCATTGTGGGCAGATATAATCATTGCCTATATTTTTCAAAGATGACGCCGGTTTTAACGTTACTGTACTGTAAATGCAGTTTGCTATAAAGTGACGATAGCTCTATAGCAAACTGCATTTTGCTATAGAGCTATGGTCAATGTATCTTCTTTACACACTTAAATATCAAAGATTTTTGGCTTCAGCATGATGGCCACGAAACAACAGTCTTATCACAAGAAACATTTGAAAATCGTATCATTTCGTGTAATGAACCAGTGAACTAGCCTTCACGATCATGCGATCTGACACCAAAGGGCTATTTTTCGTAGGAGTATGTAAAGCAATTAATCTATGCCCACAAACAAAAGTTGAACATACCGTGAGATTGCTTGTATACGGCCCCAGCTGCTGGATAAAGTGATCGAAAGCTGAACTTCCAAATTGTGTTTCATTCGAGCCAGCCCATATGCCAACAATGTTTGTCAAACACTAAGATGGCATAAAAGTGTCCAATGAAATAAGTTTACTATTATGACAATTAACGTAGTTTTATATGTTTTATGTCTTTTTAAAGTTGTATATTAAAAAATATCCTATACAATGCACACAGATAAGGATATACAGGCTTATCTAGGGCACGATTGTTGTTACATTACATTCAGTTAAATGCTTTATGCTACATTTAGGTAAATGCTGAGAGAGTCTAGATTTAAACAGAATCCAGTCGCACGGTTTGGCACAAATCCTACGCAAGATTTGCTTAAATTGAATCGTTATTTGAGCTTTACTTGTAAAGTAAATGTGCACGAGGAGCAGATGTTTTGACAAGTTTGTATGTCAATATTAAGTGATTAGTTGTGATTTCCTGAAAATAATATTTTCTTAATTATACTTCTGATTAATGACAACTACTGTAAAGATAGGATTTAACTTTATTAAGATGGCAATTTGTAAGAGACTTTCACAAATTAATTATTTGCATGATTAAAATGCTATTCTATGTAATACTGTGGCTTCTGTTAACGCTCTGGGGCTCAGAAGCATCTGTAGATAAGTTGCTTACAGCTAATTACGACAAATAGAATGAAACGCATGAGTTTGATTATCCCATTTGTTTAACTTATCAATGTACTATAAGAAGGAATTAAAAATGTGTATAACAATTACTACTAGTAGTGGATGGATAGTAGTGGGTAAGTTGTGATGGATGGATTATAAACTATTGATATGAGAGAACGTTTATAGATAAGAGCCTGCATCAACACAAGCGTTTCTGATGTTACTATGAACATTAGATGGATTTATAAATAAAAGAAAAATACTAGAGAGAGAGAGAGCTTCACACTTTTGGGGCCTTGAAGATCATACCGTAGTAGAATCAAAATACTGCAAATTACCTACGGTTAATAACAAAAGACAATGGACAGAGAGAAGGTAGGGTGGTTCCGGAAGAAGAAAGGAAACTAATATCCGGATGAGTGAAGAAACGTTGGGATAAGAAAAAAGAGATGAGTCAAAAGAAACTGACTAAATTGTGCACTGGATAACACAAAATAATAATAATAACAATAGTAGTTAATAATACAAAGGTATTTGATTAAAAAATAACTACTGTATTAACAAAACTTTTGTATACGTGTTATAATTTCATCACTCAATGATATCCTAGTAGTTTAACATTTATGTTTAATAGTGTGGTTATTGTTAGCCATTTGTAGGCTCTGACATACTTTTGGACTAACTTCGTTGTGAAATTCCTTCTTATTAACTCCTTTCTTGTTATAGGTTGGAAACAAAAACTAAAAACTCAAACAATTGGCAACACTTATGCAGCTTATACACGGATGATTGTTAAGTATCGTTCAACGTTTCCATGTTTTAGTATTTTCACCCGTTCAGAAAGGACAGTAACACAAACTAGAGTTAGAGGTGGAAACCCTAAATAACCACTCGGTAACTCAATGAATAGTTAATCTTAACTATGTCCTCCAAGCAAACAAAGTTAGATCTTTCTAGGGACTGGTCTAACGGAAGTACTATTTCATGACATACATTGATATAAAGGTAAAATGATTCAATTAACAATTACTTACATTAATGCAATATTGTATTTTAACCACTGAGTTTATTCGTATTAAGGGGAATAAGGTTTAAAAAATAATACAGGTTATTAAAAATACGAGTAAATATTTAATGCAGTTTGTTAAAACCAATATAAATATTTACTTTAAAATCCACTAGACTATTGGACTTAAAGCCAACAACAAACTTAACCTAGCACTTCCTACCGTCTGCAATATAAGCGTCTGAACAAATTCAAGTTGTTGATTCAAAGTTTTCGCAATTCAAATAAATTCCAAACTCAGAACAAAATCGACAAAGGGTGTGGAGTATTCTTGCTAACCCCTGCTTGAGCTTATTAGCAAGCTATGTGGGTGAGGCGATTGATTTGAAAACGGTTTTGAATTATGTTGAAAGGGCTGCAAACGGAAAAACGTAAGTTTGAAATGTCCACGTTATTCTTATAAAGAATAGATAAGATTTTTGCTTTTTTTAGGGATATAATTTAATCAAATTTCGCAAATTAGGGGTTATTTCAAACTAAGCTATTGACATTTAATTAGAAAATACTTTATTCCCTTTCCTAGTACTGTACAGCAAACCTAAGTTGTCTTAAAAAATAATGTTATTTACATTGAAAATAAATCTCACACTTTCAAAGCAATA